CGTTACCTATTATGTACAGATTCTCTCACATGTTCTATTCTTGTGTTCTTCTTTGCGATCTTCTATCTTTCCTGATTGATATTACCGCTTTAGGCACATTCTTTTGTTCCCTTTATGGAAATGGTTCCCTCGAGCTCCCTCACATATACCAGGAGCTCTCTCTTCGCATCTCCTCAGTCTTTTCCCTTATACTTGACTGAGGAGTGAGTCTGTCATGTCCCTTTATGTCCCTCATGTCCTAACGTACTTACGATGCCTCTGTAGTCATATATTAGGTACTACATGCGTAACTCAGTCTTTTCCCTTATACTTGACTGAGGATCATATATTAGGGAATTATCGCTCTTGCCTTCAGATCCAGAAGTTCATCACGTGGCCTGTAGTAAATTCATTTCAATTGATGTTTACCTACCATAAATGCTTTCTGCTACGTGCGTATATATTTTTGCCTGGCCACAGAGGGGTCTGCTAGCGGGTATACCGTTGCTGCGGTGGGTGGCCAGCAGCGTGACAGCGCGTGGCGCTCACTGGAGACCTGGCGGGAAACGGCCTCCGTACTCATGTCGTGAGCAATTAGCAGGCCCACTGGCACGAATGATATGAACAACACAAGCACTTCATGGCCATCGCTATATAACCCCGCTTTTGAGCTTCGGGATCTCCTTCATCGGCCCCCAGAGCTCCCTAACGGGCACTACCTCCACGATCCCAACGGTACGCCCTTAGAGGCACCCATCATCCACCCTACTTGCAACTCACAGCTTCCCAAGATGTCTTCCGATTCACGCTATACTGGTCATTCGTTTTCTATCTACCCCCTTTTATCTTCTGCGGGCTATACGCGGCGCTCAACCTCGCGTTCCCGCCTACGCGCCAGCTCCACCCCACGGCCCGCGTCCGCCAGCAGCCAACGGCCACCTCGCCCGAGGCACACTTGCTCTTAGTGCGACCACCGACAGGCGCATCAGCCCGAACGTCGAGGTCACAAGGACAACGCCCCCGCGTGAACGAACGTCGATCGCGAGCGACCTTCGCCCTGCTTGTATTGGCGACATACATCGCGGCGGGGTTTGCGGGCGCGATCATCGCTTCGGTAGTGGGCGGGTTCATCATCGCAGGGCTGTACTCAGCGGGACACTACAACATATCCACGTACGTTGACCTGCTTTGTCGATCTGTTGCTCCTTACCCATTTATCTCATAGGTGGGTACCGTGTATATGCGCCTTCATCCAGTCTTTGGTAGGGACTCTAGGGTGCGCCTCCATTGTCTCATTCTCCTACTCCACGCCGATACTCATGTTGTTGCGACCAGCATCTGGCCAAAGTCCCTCAACATCATCTGACGCCAATGTACAATACCCTCGCAATATATGCCGCTTGATTGGTCCCAGATATCTGACAATCATCGCCTTGCTGCAATATGGGACGTTTGCATGGACCGCCAAGGCCGATCGGACGCTGACTGTCAGCGACACGAATCAACAATGCAAAGCAGGTGGTGGCTGTGCGGGCTACGTGCAAAAAAGCGTTCTGAAGCAACAAGGCGTCGACGACAACCTACGCGATGGATCGTATTATGATTCGACCAGGATTTGGCCCCTTATTATCCACGTAGGGGACAACAAGCGTTACGCTTAAAAGCTCGTTCATCTAAACCTTGACTCAAAGCTCAACCCCCAACCCCCCTTAACCCAAACATGGGAACTCTGACCACCATCATCGTCCTTTGCGTCGTTATTTGTGAGTCCCCACAAACCCGTCATCCCCTCGTCGTCGGGTGCTGATGGTCTCCTTGGTCGCTGTTCCGCAGCACCGATCGTCCTCATGGTCCTCGCCCATCCGTCTTTGCGGGTAGCACTGTGGCGCGGTAACGAAGACGGCTCATGGCTGGTGACGGCCGCTGAAAAGCGCATGTTTCTCGCCCTCATCGACCTTGCCCAAGCCGAAGCCGAGAAGATGACGGCCGAGTTGGAGCGGCTGAGAGCCTCCGACCGTGAACAACGAAGACTCGTGGAGCATTGGAAGGGCGTGGCCAATAGAACGCGGGAGCAACACTCGGCGCAGCGACGGCTCGCAGAGCATTGGAAGGGCGTAGCGGACAGACTGAGGGTGCAGCACTCGGTGCCCGTACGGCCTTGCCGTCCTGAACGAAACCGGCAGGTCTGTCGTGGACATATTCTACATACCACCGGCAGGGGCTCACTGGACACGCAGACGCAAAGACGCGATGACGAACTGCTGGAATGCGACATCTGCCTGCGCATGGTGTACGCGCCCCTTGCGTGCGTAGTGCTCTCTCCGCCCGTGGGTTTCCCATAGTCGAAGCTGACGGACTGCATGTTGGTATATGAAGCCTCGCGAGCTGTGGACACCGCTTCTGTTTGGAATGCCGGCTGGCCAACACCCGGTCGTCCTCCGCCGATCCCAACACCACCAGGCGGCACGCGACCGGCGTAGGCCGCATCCCGAGCGGCGTGCGCCTGCATTGCCCGACGTGCTCGAGGCCAGACTTGGGCTTGAACCGGTGGTTTGCGCGAGACGCGGGCGCAGAGGTCATAGAGCCGGCGGGAGCGGAACTTGCACGAGAGCCGGGCGCGATGCCCGCATTACCCGTCGTGAACGAAGGCATGGCCAGGCGCCCCTTCGCGGTACTTGGGCGCGTACTCACGAGAGCGTTGCCCCGACGCTGAATCCGGAGCGACGTGATAACTGGCGTCGGGAGGGCGTGAATATCTCCTGAAAGGTTCATCCCAGAGGATGTGGCTGCCGGCAGCATGATTGCAGGGGGGTCCTACGTTGACTCATTTACTGGGCTGCTTACTCCACCGTGGCACTCGTTGAGGTGCTAGTCTGTCCAGTATCCGGCGCGCGTCGGACTAGGTTCTGGTATCGGTAACATAGTCTAGCGTTGCTCGGCGTTCCGGCGCTCCTAGCTTAATCTGGATGTGGAATATCATTGTCGCAGGTTTCGTTTGCTATCCTTCCTTGTGTGGTATCCATGCGGAGGATGATCAATCGCGGCTCGCCAGCGCAGGGGCGCCTAACCACGCCCGCACGTTCGTCGTCCTCCGTCGTACGCCTCCCGCCGCATACGAGCGCATGGTCCATGATTGCAAGCATATAGCTTTGCGCAAGCTGCAGAGGGGGGTCAGATGGGTCAGATGGTATATTTGGCGGCTATGCTACACAGCATGTCTGCCGAAGCTGTAGAAGGACCGAGAGCACCGAACATATAAGACTCGTCCCTTTTACATGCAGCTCTAAAATCGCGTTCGCATCGGACGTTGACATTCATCAACGTCACCCGACACCTTTCAACCTCGAGCTCCCTTAAAACGCACGGTTCGCACGTAAATGACGCAAGACGTCGATGTAGTCACCATCGCTCTCGTCGGCGGCTTCCTCGGTGCGCACATCTACGTGTGGAGGTAGCCCCAGATACCAATGCGAACCGGTTTGAGACAGACTGGGCCGCGATCGCCATCGCGCTTTGGATCCTCGCGGACGTATCGCTGCCCGCGGTCGACACCCCGCCCGCGACGACGACGACGACGACGACGACGACGAGCCTTCGCGAACGCGACCTCAGTACCACCGCCCTTCGCTCGTCGATCCCGGCCCTCGAAGCCCAGCTCGCGGCGATCCGGGCAGAAGCCGAGATATTGAGGGCCGAGGTCCGCCGCCACGAGTCTCTCGCGGCGCGGTGGAAGCGCGTGGCGCTGCAGACGGAGCGCGATTGGCGAGAGACGGAGCGGCGGCGGCTGGGAGGACTCGGAGAGCGGTCGAGCGGGGCCGGAGGCGGAGGAGGAGGAGGAGAGCCGTCGCGGCAGAACGCTCCCGGTACCGATATCGCCGGTCCATCCGGCCTGGCGACGTGCGCCATCTGCGAGCGCATGGTGTACCCGCCCCTCGCGTGCGTCTGGCACCCTTCTCTTTCGGGGCGTGTTGAGTCCCTTGTACGATCGCTGACGAGAGTTCCCCCCCGCGCACGCAGCGTCGCCGACTGCGGCCACGGATTCTGCCCGGAATGCGTCGAGATCTGGTCCAAGCCGATCGGCGGCGGCGGCGGCGGCGGCGAGGACGACAAGAGCGGACCGCAGCCGGGCAGGCGCATGCGATGGCTGCAGTGCAAGCTGTGTTCGCCTGAGCCAGAGCCAGGGTCGAGCTCGAGGAGGGTGTCGGGTGTGAGAGGCGCCGTGGGCGGGTTGGCAGGATTTCTTTCTAGGGTGTTGTCATCACCTGCCGGGCGGGGAACGTGAGTAGCCTTCGCCACCGCGGATCGTGTGCGTCGCCATGACGCATCACACTCGTCCCGTCGTATATGATATATATTTTGAAAGGGGGCTTTTCGTACGATTGTTCGCTTGCGGAGCTGAGAGTTGCCGGTCTATCTTCGTCCCCAGTTCGGCGTGCTGGCGCTCTCGAGGCGATAAGTATGTGGCAGCGATTGATCGCGAGGTGTCATAAGCGATGCTTAATTAGACTGTGTATCGATGCTGTGAAGCAAGCGATGTGATCAGCGGATACGACGAAGTCGGGACAGGGCGGTGTAGCATACCTCACATGACCGGACGCCCGCCAATCCGTGGGTGACGAGCGTCAATCCCAGTGGAGGGGGCGGGCATGTTGGGTATATGTGTGTGCGAGCATCGGCCTTCGTGGAGTACAGTATTTCCGGATCGAAGAAAGAACCAGTCGTCCGCGGCGATTGCTAGGGGTCCGAAACTGAGTCGGCGCCGATAGAACCTCACTCACCCTCTCTCATGTCTTTTCGGATAAGTACAGCTGTCCGGTCCGTGGATAACGTTGCCGGAAAGGGGATGCTGGAATCTTGATCTCTCAAGTAATGGATTTGACGTTTAGGCGTTTCGAGCAGGAACACCGTCTTGGCATGAGCATCGGTATCTATGTGTGTGTCAAGTCCATCCAGGGGGGAGGGGGTTACATAGCACCGACCGAATCTCTGCCCTGGAAGACATGGATCTGCGCAGTAGCTCCACCAGCCTAACGAGGTTTAACTTTAAGCAGTGCTGGGACGCGTACGATGAGTCGTGATCGCAGGTGTTTCGGCTGTGCAGAGGCGCTGTAAGTGTTGGCCAGAGCCCCTTCCTTCTTCTCTCCACAAGAAATGGATCGCGAAACGAATGATGCGATAGAGGTGGGGGGCGCTTGTAATCAAGAGATCAAGGTGCACGTAAGTCTGCATCAAGGGCCCGTGGCGTGGCGGGGGCATAATCGAATAGAAGCAGGAAGGGGTTTCGGGTTCGGTAGAGCTGCGGCGCTTTTAGTTTACGAGCGGTGAGTTGAGACGTGCAAGCTGGATGAGGAGTTGGCGAGGAAGCGAGTGGGGGTCTTCTTGCTTTTGCGACAACGTGTGACCGGAGTTAATCAGCATCGATATGTATCGTCGCATTACTATGTACTCGACGCAACGCAGAGAGGCGCCGGCCGTGCTGTCGCTACGGGCAGATCGACCCGGTCTGCCCAGACCTGGTTGGTAAGATCGAAACCGAGAAACCGTTTGTCGAGCCATGGAGAGGAGTGCGTTCCCGAGGCGAAGAGCCGACTTGCACGCGCCCTGCGGCTGCTTCTGGTCTCCCGAGTCCCGAGCCAGGTGGGGCGAACAATAGAACGCCAGTACAGCCGGGTGGACGTCCGCGTTCTGTGAGGCGGCTCGAACGCGGCGATCATAGCAGTCGCAACGGGCGGGACTCGTTCTGGAGAGGTGCAGAGCTACGGTCGCTAGATGGAGACGCGCGAGCTCGAGCGGTAGGGTCTAGGGGCAAAAGGTGGCTCGGGTCCCTGGCCCTTATGTCTGCATACAAGTGTAACACGAAACGTCAGTGTGCTGCGTATGTCGCTTGCCTGCGCACGTCGAAACGAACGTCCATGGCGATGAGCGCGGTGAATGAAATTGCAGTATTCTACACGTTAAGGAAGCCGACGGGTGGTTGCTGTTCAATGCTAACGATGGATGTACGTCCGTCGGGGTCCCGGGGTGTGTCGGCGAGGCGGTGCGTACCACGGCGAGCTCGCGACGGGATCTCTGGCGGGTGCAGCGTTGGATGGGAGAAGCTGTGCGCCCTGGCCACCGCGTCATACCCATCGTCCTCCCCGGGAGAGCCGCAGACGCAGATGCAGATGCAGCAGCAGACCTATGCCCCAGACGCGCCCCATATAAATACCCGCCACCGTTCGACCACCCCAGCCGACACGCAGCATACAGCACCGTGAACGCAGCGCCAGCCTACGTTACCACCAGCCGGCGCACACCCATGGCCACCCGCTCTCCCCTGGTAAGCAGCCAAGCCGTCACCCTGCTCTGCCCCCCTTCCTTCCTTCTCCCATATTTCCTTTTTCGGGGATCTGACCACGTTCCCTGGCCCCGGCCCGCGTTCCCCTGTGCTCCTCCCTCTTTTGCCCCCCGCTCCCCTCCTTCCCCAAATGGACCCGACGTCCGCTCACCAGCGCGCCCCCAAGGACGTACCCACCGCCGTGCGCACCCTCCTCCTCGCGACCAAGCGCCTGCAGGACACCCTCCGCCTCTGGGCCGCCGGCCAGGCCTCCGAGACCGCCGTGAGCGACGTCTACGTCCAGATCGGCAACGACTTCAACGCCACCGTGAACGCCTTCGCGGAGCACGGCGTCGATCTCAGGTGGGTGGCCCAAAAAAAAAGAAACAAGTTTACAACCTTGGATCCGCGCGCGCGCCATCATTCCGCTGCAATCAGTCCGAACACACTCCCATCGAGATCGCTTCGGCTTCTCCGTCCTGTGATATACGTGTTTCGGCCCGCGTCCCCCATTCCATGATCCTCTCGTCTCTCTTCTTATATATCTCATAACCTTTACACACCTCTCTCTATACGTGCCGCTGACCCGCGACCCCGTCGTACCAACCCTATCTTAGCGAGATCTACTCCGTCCCCGCCGACCTCCGCCTCGTCCTCGAGAACTGTCTCGGCGAGGAACCCTCCCCCGAAGTCCTCGACACCTACATGCCCGACATCCGCCGCATCCTCTACGCCCTCCTCGAAGGCATCCAGCGCAAGCAGGCCGACTACCACCACTCGAACGCGCGGAGGAGGTCGTCCGGCTCGTCGTCCCAGCCGTCCCCGATCGGGCCCGGGCCCGGGCCCGGCGCGGCGGGGTATCAGGCCGGGGGGCAGCAGTACAGGGGTTGACTCGCGGTGTCCGCGAGAGCCGTGAGATGGGATGGGAGAGGGGAAGTGGGTGAGATGGGCTCATCGAGGACCGGTTGGCGACCCTCATCCGAACGCTGTATCTCTATGTATGTATATTTATCGTCTCCCTATCTCGCAACCTGGCGATCCTATAATTCCGGTGCCCTACATGCGGTATCGTATGTCCTCTCAAGCGCTACTGCGAATGTGGGCCACCGACGTCGGCCTGCTAACTTACAACGAACAGTTTCGTGTACACGGATACCCGACTATTTGTTTTATCTGTCCTGCAAGAACCAAACCTGAGGCTCAAGAACCCTGGCACAAGCACGAATCGAATATGGCAGCCTTCATCGACCCACCCCCTGCAAGAGCGATCCTGAGGCTCAAGAACCCTGCTGACGAGAATGCGTGCAGATCGCTGCGGAGACAACCTTTTGCTGATTCTGCGCTCTGCTTGCACGAACGAGCTTGGGGTTGGGGGGGGGGGGGGGTCAATGCTACGCATAGCGTTGAGTGGGTCGATGAAAGGCTGCCACCTTCGATCCGTGCTTGTGCCATACTTTCCCCGCAACGAAGCTTGGGCTGATTATACCGCGGCAATTCTGCGATCGGCCTCCGCCGCCAAATACTTGGCGAACGCCCTCAGAGCTCCTATCCCCGAAGCAGTGCGGCATGTCCTGCACGAATCTGACATGCTCTGGATCGGTTTCTCCAGGAAAGCTCCTTCGAGGATCGTCGCTCCGAACGGCCGTTTTAACAGTTGCGCTTGAACGCTATCGAGGAATGACATCCACCATTTGCACACATTATGGTGCTTGCGTGAATTGTCGGTGATGATATCCATTTGGCGGTGACAGAAAAGGCACCTTGTCCAGGGCGGATTCAATTTTGCATACCACCAAATCAATGTTTTGTGGCTTGGGAATTCGCCGACGACAGGGCAACCGACCGGTATCCACGTGAGATCCGTCGTGAGCGTGGCCATCTCTTTCTGACAGCGCAGGATGAAGCGCACGAGACGATGGTGCGCAACGGCCGATATGTCGGCCAGTTCCGGAACGACATCCAGGTCGAGCAACGTGAAGCGCAGGCACCCCACGGCCGCCTCGCGCGCTCTACCCTCCATCCCGTGGCGCACCGCACACGCGTAGACGCGCAAGGGAGATGTCGTCGCGTGCCCTGACAACTGCTGCGATAGCAGCTTCACGGCACCGGCCATATCGTACTTGATCGCGGCGGACAGGGTCGGGGTGATCCAGTCCAGGTCATCTAGATCCGGGTTTTCGTAGGGATAGATGATGCGGAGCAGCAGATCGAGAGTGCGCACGTCCTCCGGAACCGCAACGACAGGACGCCCGTCTTTGTGGTCCTGGATGGGTTCCGCGGATCGTTGCCCTCGGTTTGAAGGGGAGCTGCATGGTTCCCCGGGCTGAGGGAGCGAGAACATGGTCTCAAAGACAGGTGAAGCTTCTGACAGGATGAACTTGTGGACGTGGAAGTCGACGTGGTCGCTGGTGCGCAGGATGAGGTCGGCGCTGGGCTTGTTGAACGGGTGATCCGCGTCAACGATCTCGAGTTCGGAGGTCATGGTGTGTGTGAGAGCACGACGCTGAGTATGTTCAATGGGAGGGTGTGATTACAGGACCTTGAGCGATCCAAGGGCTAAAGCACAAGGTGGACAGGTCGAAGAGACTACGCATCTGCGGCAGCACGAGGCTGTTGGACGAGAATTGCGTTTTGCAAACCTAGTTCACAGCTTTCCGAGTCGGTGTGCGTGCTCGGTCCGAGATGTAGCCGCAAAGCTAGAGTTGGGCCCTTTTCATTGTTTTATAACGTCAGCGTATTTGTGTATGTACACAGCTGATCTCGTCAATACCTGACCATTCGAAAGTGTGATCCACTCCCCGCCGTCGATGCGATTGTGCGACTTATTTGCCCATCCTATCTTCGGTGTGCATCCATGGATTCGACGGGTATCACGGGCAGCAGCGGCACAGGGGTTGACTCGGGGTGACCGTTTGAGCTGTGAGATGGAACGGGAGAGGGATGGTGGATCGTGGCCCGGGAAGATGAATGCAGACCGAATTCGAACTCCTCATCCCCGATGCTGTATCTCTATGTAGGAATATTTATCGCCTCGCTATCTCGCACCACCTGCTCCGCCCGTCGATCCCTTCCAAAGCGCAAGCTATGTATGTATATTTGTCGTCTCGCTATCTTGCACCAAGCGACCTGCTCCGCCCGTCGAACGCTTCCGAAGATAAAGCGCAAGCTTAGCAAAAAGTCGTGTTTGCGGCGATCTGCGCCCATCTGGTCAGACACTGTCGCCCTCACAGCATAAAGCCGCATGAGTTGGAATTCACCTCAGCCGTCCTCCGGTCCACTTCCATCGCCAGATATTTCGTAAACGCCCTGAGGCTTCCGAGTCCCGAGACGGTGCGGCATTCCCAGCATTTAAGCCCCATCTCGCGACTTGCCTGGTCTACCAACGCCGGCATTCCGAGAAGCACCGCCCCAGAAGGCCGTTCGGCCAACCGCTGTCGCACCCACCCAAGATATGGATCCCACCAAGCGCTCACCCCAAAGTCGCCCCTACACGCACCGCACCCATACCAAGGCGGTTCTCTACCGGTCTCCCAGCCCACAGTGCCCGACTCCTGTTCGAAAGGCCGACCTTTCGGAAGCCATGAGAGATCCTTTGTAATAAGGGGAAGCTCGGTCTGGCATCGCACGACGTAACGCATGAGACGCTGGTAGTCAACGCCCGATATGTCGAACATCTCTGGTGCATCCTGAGAGATTAGAGTGTTCAGACCGAAGCGAAGTGACGCCCTCGCTGCAAACCGAGCTTCTTCCTCGAGTCTCCGGTGCACAGCGAAAGCGTAAACGCGCAACGGCGACGTTGTGGCGTGCGCTTGCAGTCGTTGGGATAATACAGTGGTGGGGTGGTCCATCTCGTACTTGATCGCGGCCACTAAGACTTCCATGGTATCGTCCAGATCGCTCATATCCGGATCTTTGTATGGATAGCAGATTTGGAGTAGCATCGCAAGGGAGGCCGCCGTCTCCGGAATCTTGACGACGGGGCGCCCGTTTTTGAGCTCCGGAATCTTGACGACGGGGCGCCCGTTTTTGAGCTCCTGAATCTGTTCCGCGAATTTCGTGGAAGGAGAACGGGCGAGGCCGACTGGTTTCCGGGGCTGAGGGAGCGAGAGCATGGTCTCGAAGACGGGTGAAGCTTCGGAAAGGATAGACTTGTGGACGTGGAAGTCGACGTTATCGCTGGTGCGCAGGATGAGGTCGGCGCTGGGCTTGTTGAACGGGTGATCCGCGTCAACGATCTCGGGCTCGGAGGTCATGGTGTGTGAGAGCACGACGTTGGGGATGTTCAATGGGAGGATGTGATAGCAGGATCTTGGACGATCCAAGGGCTAAAGCTCAACGTGGGCAGGTCGAAGAGACTGTGCATCTGCGGCGGCACGAGGCTGTTGGACGAGGATTGCGTTTTGCAAACCTAGTTCACAGCTTTCCGAGCCGGCGGTCCGAAATGTAGCGGCAAAGGCAGAAACTTGCCCTTTTCATTGGTAATGACGTCAGCGTATTTGTGTGTGTACACAGGTGATCTCATTGAGTATATGTAACGGAGTAATCCGATTAGACTACAACACTGTACCGGGCCGCGGCCCTGCCGCGGCAAGCAATGAAAGATCTGCCGCGCCCTATTGGGCGCGTTTAGGCTAATCACGCGTGCTATTCCACCCAGGGCGTCTGAGGCCCTCAGATATGACTATCTAGGGCCCCTAAGACGTCTCAAAACTCTATATATTGCACGCCGACTTGCCTGTATCTACAGTTCTTTCGCTATACTACCGGATCCCACTCGTTTGCGCCTGACGCGCGTCGTGCCACTGCCACCGCCCGCGTCATCCTCAAGCTTGACTTTACATCTTTTTGAGTGTCCTATACTATTGTATAGCCTGACTGTAGATACACGGTCATGAGTAGAAATACGCGATCTCGTGTATATGGGCTGAGAAGCCAAAATAACCGACCGGGCGTGAGTGAGACGCCCCAAGCGGAAGGCCCTATTCAGGACAACGCAACCGCCCAAGCGGAAGCCGTAGTAACTGCGGGAACCGAGAATACCGATCTCCCGGGTCAACTGGAAGAGATCGAGGTACAGTCTCACGCAAGCAGCATCCCTGCCGGCTACGGCACGGACAACGGAGATATCAGTGGGTTGAAAGAGCTGGCCCAGACCATGTGGATTCAGGGCGGGAAAAGTCCGATCAGGGTCAATGATATCGATCACGTACTGCGCATGACCGAGGACAAACTTAGCGAGAAATACTTGCTACTCATGCTGCTCAAGCGGCGCATTAAACAAAATAGAATTGCGGACATCGGAGAACCAGAATGGTTTGATATATCTAAAGGAGTCGCGACGATGACCCCCGACATACAAGTCCTATCCGCAATGCGGCAGGAGGACGCGGATAAACGCGCAGTCGACCCACCGGAAGTCCGGGAGCCGGCGCAGCCGAGAGAATTTCTGAGAGGACCCGAACAGGAGGCTTCCGAGGCGCGGGAAAGCGCTGTCATTCCAAAAGAGGAAGATAGCGATGGCGACCTGTACGCCGATTATGAAACGCCTCCACACATGCCGAGCAACCGGCAGAGGGCCAGCACCATGCCTGAAGTAATTAGAAATAGGGGCGATTCGCGCGAACAATCGCGGCGATCGACGCCCAGGGCTCGCAATGAGCCGACATTTAGGCAGCTTAGTAGGGGATATCTGTACCCTGGAAGGTTTCCGGGAGGGGACCCTAGCGATGACAATGACGACGGAGAATCACATGGAAGGCGACCGAATCGAGACAACCGTGGAAATGGACGTAGAGACCGGAGATCGGAAGGAAGCCCTGGAGGAGGGCTAGGCGGGCGCGGCCACGTGCCTAGTGACACCTATCCGGACCCACAAGTCCATGAAAATGCGCAACTGCGCGAAGGGTCGTTTATACCCATAAACGATGACATGACTACATTGTCATTGCGAGAACTATACCATCGAAGAATTCGACGAATGTTCCATAGATATGTGGATTTACACCGCCCATTGAACTCACAAATAAAGAACCCCAAACCACAAGCGCCGAAGGCTTGGCAGGGGGATGATGACGTTGAGAGCTTCCTCGACTGGCTCGATTTGCTTTTGAATTACTTTCGGCTATCCGGACTGTCGGGCAGCCAATTTGAAGATGAGCGATTATCGTACACTACGTCATACTTGGACACCAAGCCGCGCATGTGGTGGCAACAAAAAATAACTCGCGCCGCCGCATACGAAAGGGCGGTACCATTCAAGGACGCTATAATAAAACTATTTGATAGATTTGTTATTAATCTTAGCCCGGAACGGGCCCGTAAGAAGTATCAGGAAGTAACATTCGAGCGTAAGCTCGGAGTACAGCAGTTCTATGATGATCTCATGGAAGCGGCAGACGGGTTGCTTCAACAGCCCACGGAGACAGACATATCTGAGCACTTCCTCATGAATCTGCCGGAAGATTACATTGGGCATTTAGTCACAAATAAGGAAGTCCGCGTCGGGCTTACAAAAATCGAGATCATGCGTGACTACGCCCTGCAATATGAACTCGCGCAAGACTCCCTGAAAGCGGTCAAGGAGCTTCGGGGTAGTACGCGTGCCAAAACAACGGACACGCGAGGAGACCGAGATCATATCGGGAAGAGCGGCTCAAGGCCCACAAGCAACGGTCTCACAGATCGGAAATACCGGGATCGGGGCGATAACCGGTTCTCAAGCCGACGTGACACATACCGATATCGCGAAGGCGGTAATAGTGATTCACAAAAAGTAGATACGAAGGTGGATACTACGAAAACACCTGACAACTGGCCGCGCGGTGCGACTATACTCAAACCTCCCATGAATCCTCGGCACGCGAACGTAGTATGCCGATTATGCTCTGAGAAGGGGCATATGTCATATGACCATTACCCTAAACCGGCGCGCATGAACACCATGGGCGTGGTAGACGAGCGGGCCGAAGAAGATGCTGCACCGGCATCTGATGACGTCACATCAGACGACGCACCGCCGCTTCCAGACGCCAAGACCGAATATGAACCGTCGGACGATGACCGATCAGCTGAGGCGTATGCTGCTCATGAGTACAGTGACTATGAGTCCTCCGGCGACAGCGACAATGTAGTATACATGAGTGCTATACTCGCCGATAATAATGAGGATACGCGGGAGGATAACACTCCCGCCCCACAGGCGCTACCATTTCCGAAAGGGAAAAGGCCGAGCCCTCCGACGGAGGTAAATGAGGCGATTAGATCGGGACTACATCGCGACGGCGCATCACATCGCCCTCGTTACCCGAAGGAGTGGACCGAGCTGCTAGCAGCTTATGTGACCATTAATGGTGTTCGCGCCTGGACTCTGTTCGATCTCGGATCAAATACCGATGCCGTAAGTACAGAATTTGCGCAGGTATGCAAACTCGATGTATTCGAGCTGCAGAGCCCGATTACATTAAAGTTAGGCTGCAAAGGCAGCAAGTCGAAAATTACACATGGCGGGCATTGTCGTACCGCATTGGGAAGCATTAACACGAACTGGTATTTCGATGTCGCGAACATCGCTCACTATGATGCTGTGGTCGGTCTCCCATTCTGTGCTAAACATGGAATTACGGTAATACCTGAGAGACGGACAATAAAACTACGCGATGGGGAAGCTATACCTGCCGAATTGGAAGGGGGGAGAGTCGGCGGAAGGGACAAATGGGCTAGACCATTACCGGCGACGAAACCGAAGGGTTCCTTTCGGAAATAAGCATCGCACCAACCCGAACCGCCCACGAGCCAGAACTCCGGCTCGCTCCCACGCGCTAGATACTCGCGTACCTGACATCAGGGAAAGAAGCTCACCAGAAATAACGAAACTCGCCAGTGCTCGAGTGTATCTCGAGGACATCGAGGACATTAAGTTCCCTCAGGAATTTGAGGACGCGTATATACAGCATCGAAAGGCTGAGGAGGCTCAGCGGAAGACGCCCTGGGGTAAACAAACACCTTTCCCAGGACCGCCGGGACTAGACCGCCCTGAGAAGGCGAACAGCGCCCAGGAATCTGATGGCGCAACCCCATCAGCCGCCCGAGAAACCGTGTCAGAGATCACTATCCCACGGCTCCGGGACCAATGGACGGAGAGCATAGGAGACATCACGGGAGATATCCCGCTCAGAAAGCCACCCTACCGGGAGGTTAACCATAGAATACCTTTGATAGACCCGAACGCGAGGTATAAGGGGCATAGGCCTCGGTGCGCTGAAGCGTACCAGAAATTATTACAAGATAAAATAAAAAAATACACCGCCGCTGGCTGGTGGGAATGGAAGCCTGTAGACAACGCACTACCGATGCTGTGCATCCCGAAGAAGGACGGGAAGCTGCGCACCGTGTTTGATCTCCGAGAACGGAATGATAACACGGTACATGATGTAACGCCAATGCCCGATCAGGATAGAATTAGAAATGATGTCGCGCGAGCGCGGTATCGGTCAAAACTTGATATGAGTGACGCGTACGAGCAAGTACGCGTAGAGGAAGGGGATGAATTAAAAACAGCCTTTTCAACCATTATGGGTACCATGATTTCCCATGTAATGCAACAAGGGGATTGCAATGCGCCGTCAACGTTTCAACGACTCATGACGCACATTTTCCGAGATCACATCGGGATATTCATACACGTGTATCTCGATGACATTTTCATATTCTCCGACACGGTCGAAGATCACGAGCGGCATCTCGGCATCGTGTTTGATGCTCTGCGAAAAGCGCAGTTATACCTTTCGAAGAAGAAGGTGGATTTGTACTCGGAGAAGATGGAATGCTTAGGGCATATCATCGATAATGAGGGCATACATGCCGAGAAAGACAAACTCGAGCAGATACGCGACTGGCGCACACCGCGTAGCTACACTGAAGTGGCCCGATTCTTAGGGCTTGTACAATACCTGGCGCAGTTCATGCCGAATGTGGCAACTTACATGACACCGCTATCAGACATATGTAGTGAGGGAACGCCGTTTCATTGGCGTCCGATACACGAGAAATGCTTCCGAACGATTAAGGACTTGGCGTGTAAGGCGCCCATTCTCAAACCGGTGAACTTCGGCAAGCCCGATCCGATCTGGGTTGTGTGCGACGCGTCGAAGACCGGTGTCGGTGCCTATTACGGTCAGGGCCCGGACTGGCGGACGTGCCGCCCGGCTGGTTTCATGTCCAAGAAATTCACGAATGCACAGCGTGGATATGCTACCTACGAGCATGAGACACTTGCGATCCTAGAAGCCCTACTGAAATGGGAGGACAAATTAATGGGTCGGAAAATACATATTGTAACCGACCACCGTACCCTTGAGTTTTTCAAAACTCAAAAGGATATGTCCTATCGACAACGTCGGTGGGCGGAATATATCAGCCGATTCGATCACTCTATTACCTATGTTAAGGGAGAATACAATCTGGTAGCGGATGCGCTATCCAGGTACTACAAGTATGACCGACCCAATGATCGGCATGCAGCCTACCGATACGTGACTGCGGACATCCGCATCGATCCCACAGGGGAGGACTTACCGGCGATCCGCAACGCGGAGATTGTGCACATGCGTGCAATGGGAATTCCCGAAGCAGTGGAAAGCCGTGATATCGAAGCCGAAATGATGGCACCGGACGTAATACCGGAGGACAACCGCATGCCGCAAACCGATGACCCGATCGCGGCTGAATCTGCGTCACCCGGGCCTATCCATCCGCAGACTTATGGGCAATATGATGAATATATTGCTACGGTAAAGCTACAATACAAGCACGACAGCCTCATGAGCAAGGTCGTGAGCGCACCAACCGAACACAAACAATTTGTAATACGAGATGACCTCGTGTTCATGCAAAGCCGAGACGGAGTCGAGGTGCTGTGTATTCCAATTGGAAAGCTTGGCGCCCGATCACTGCGGGAATTGGCAATTGATGGGGCGCATAGAGCGCTCGGGCATCTCGGCGCCAGAAAAACGGAGGACTATCTCCGTCGGCACTACTGGTGGCCAAAGATAGCGGCCGATGTTGTCGAATTCTGCAAGACTTGTCAGATGTGTCAAATGACGAAAGACGTGAATAAGAAACCTGAGGGGCTATTACATAGCCTCCCTATACCCACGCGACCATGGAGCTCGATCGCAATGGATTTCCTTGGGCCATTCCCCAAATCGAAGGGTTATGACTACTTATGGGTAGTGATATGTCGCCTCACTGGGATGGCACATCTCGTCCCGTGCACTACGAAATCTACAGCGAGCGAACTCGCTTACCTGTTTCTGAAAGACATTGTCCGACTGCACGGTGTCCCTGAGAACATCGTGTCGGATCGGGATTCGAAGTTCAATTCTAAATTCTGGCGGGAACTGCACCGGCTGATGGGCACCCGCTTGATGATGTCAACAGCGTTTCATCCGCAGACGGATGGCGTCACTGAGCGCGCAAACCGATCTATTGCCCAGATCTTACGCGCATTCGTGCGCCCGGATCAATCGGACTGGGCCGACTCACTCCCGCTCGCCGAGTTTGCCCTGAATGCATCACGATCAGAGACAACGGGGTACACGCCGTTTGAACTGACGTATGGATATGTGCCGCGTATGCTGGATACAGTACAATCGGAAAAGACATTGCCGGGTGTGCGTGATTTTGCAATCCGAGCAACGGACTGTCTACGACAGGCGCATGACGCCATAATCGAAGCGAGGGTGCGGCAGGCGCATCATGCCAACGCAAGGCGCCGGGATCACCTCCCATATCGGGAAGGTGATCTGGTGTATGTCAGTACCGCAAACATAAATCTACCGTTACGTCGGGCGCGGAAACTCGCGCCCAAATTCATTGGCCCTTTCCGCATATTGAAAGCGCTGAATGACATCAGCGTATACGAGTTAGAACTTACGGAGGATTTGCGGAAGCGCCGCATACATCCGCGGTTCCACATATCCAAACTGCGGAGTTACATGGCGAATGACGACGCCAGATTCCCGGGTCGAGAACCCGCCGCGTTTTACGATTTCGGTCAGCCGGATGATTTCGAATATGAGGCCGAGGAAATTGTCGCGCACGAATGGCAGAACGACGCCACATTATTTCTTGTGCGATGGACTTTTGGAGATAGTTCCTGGGAACCCTGGGAAAATGTGAAAGACCTCGCGATAATTGACAGATACTTCGAAGCTCAGGGGGTACATCGGTGGGAGGACCTGCCTAAGAATCGCGAACCTATTGTAGGACTTCCCGCACCGCCGGGTGCGATCGTCACCCCTCATGGAATAACTCCTGTGGGACGGGAGGGAAAAATATTCTGGGCGGTAGGACCCAATGGTATAAAAGTACGCTACCACCCAGCGAGAATGCCTGAGCCCAGCGAACGACTACCGGACTCTTACAACTCGCACTATTCAGCTACTACCGCTCAAACTCGAGACCATGTTCCGTCCTGAGAAGAACTTCAACGCGCGTCTCGCGCCTTACCCACCACCGGCGATCAACTTGCCGCATATGGCTCGCGACATCACACGCCTCTCTGAGCGCATCGCCTATCTCGAAAGCATGATGGGCGTTTCCACTCGCCCGGATTCATACTCCCACGCGCCTGAATATGGCGCCCCTCCGTCTTCCAAGGGCAATTTCACGCAATGGGTGCCCGACTCTGATGGCCGCCCGATGTCGTTGCCCGCGCCTCTAGGATCATTTTCTGGAGGGGGAGAGATCTATCGAAGGAAGGGCAGGGCGGGGGAAATCCAATACCACCTGTCAAGGGCCGAGATATCGGCCATCAAGAAGCAGATCGTCATCCCCGATGCGGGGGGGCTGGAACAAGCCGCGAGAGAGGCGGAGAAACCGGGGAACTGGTATGCGGTATTCCTGGTGAAGCACTATACTGAGAAAATCAACGAGCTCGGTACACGGGCGGCCACCGAAGGGCGCGTATTCGCTAACAAGTGGACGCTTCCCGTATGGTTTGAAAATGCGATTGCTCTCGAGGACAATTGGCGCGAGAAATTGCAGAAGACATCGAAATATGCCCCCGAGCCTAGCCATGCGCTCGAGGAAACCGATAAATGGGTTGAGTACCTGAAGATTAACGACAAAATTCGCCCGAATGGCATCGCGTTCGTCGACGGCACCCCAACTCGCGCCCATGTCGAAGGGTGGCTGTTACTCAAGATCATTGGCATGAAGCGCGTCGCGAAGGGCCAAGAACGCCGCATTCGGAACTCGCCGATGCACGCCATATGCGATTATTTCGCCGAGCATGCTGCCGAATACCGCGGCAAGATCACTACGCTCGGCGGATCTATCTCCGTGATGTGGCAACCTTCTCGATTTGAGGAAGTAGATAATTTTACGATTGATAACTTCCTCAAGCACGCGGCACATTGCGGCGTCAAACCTGCGGTAGCCGAAGGTCCGCTTCACGCATTTGCTATTCAGTGGTTGCAGGACCATCGAGCTCAGCTCGAGGCCGAGGTTCCCAGCGCGAGTGCCTGAGTCCATCGACGAGTACTCTAGTCATACTGAAATATTGGTATGACGCGCTATTGATATAATAATTCCTCCCCGACCTTTATTTCGATTCCTGGGGGGGGAAGGATGTAACGGAGTAATCCGATTAGACTACAACACTGTACCGGGCCGCGGCCCTGCCGCGGCAAGCAATGAAAGATCTGCCGCGCCCTATTGGGCGCGTTTAGGCTAATCACGCGTGCTATTCCACCCAGGGCGTCTGAGGCCCTCAGATATGACTATCTAGGGCCCCTAAGACGTCTCAAAACTCTATATATTGCACGCCGACTTGCCTGTATCTACAGTTCTTTCGCTATACTACCGGATCCCACTCGTTTGCGCCTGACGCGCGTCGTGCCACTGCCACCGCCCGCGTCATCCTCAAGCTTGACTTTACAGTATACCTGACCATTCTGCGTATCTCACCATTCGGTTACTCCCTCGTCCCCCATGGTGCGCGCGACTGCTTCATCAGACAACGGCCTCATCCGCGGCGCCGAAAACCTGCCTCTCTACGAAGTCGGCCTTGTTATTGTGCACGGGTTTGGCGCGTAGGGCGCCCTTTGCACGCGTCGTTGATTGAACGAAACCCTCGGGTCGGAACACGAATCGAAGTGTCTGCGCCGTGACGAAGATGTTAGCAGAACATTATTTCAGAGGCAATCTGTACAACACGATTAGACATCGTCTCAGCAGGCGAAGCAAACGATGGCTGACTTACCTCGGCCGTTGTGCGGTCCACTTCCATCGCCATGAGCCTCGCAAATTCCCTCAAACTCGCGATCCCCCCAGGACGGCGGCATGTATCGCACTTGGCGTCCATCGATTACTCATAAACCGCTCCGTCAATGAAGGACGCTTCGAGGACGACAGCCCCGCATGGTCGCTCGGACAATCGCTCCCGTGCCTTGCCGAGCTAAGCCATCCACCGTTGCGTCACCCTACACATTAGATTGTGAGGGCCGAGGTCCAGCCAATCCTTATTGCGAGGGCATGAGGAGCACGATAACCAGGGTGGCAAATATCGGCGCAAGTGGTATGATAAAAGTGCGAGCGGTGAGGATGAAGAGACAGGGGCTTGAAGGGGAAGGCCACGTGGTACACCGTTATTGCCTTTGAGAGGTAGAGGCGAGCAGAATGTTTTATATATGCGCTAATGTACATTTACTTTCTCACTACTTCTCACTAATCATTCCAGACTGCCCCAGCCTTCGTAGCGTAGGACTCTAGCAACCTGGCGACGAATGAACGTCTCAATAATCCTCGATCTTGTGTTGAGATAAAGGGTGTGCAACGTCCGACAAGGACTTCAGCAAAACGTCATGCTTGACGCGATCTATGCAAAAAGGGTCAGAAACATCTTACTAGCCCTGAGCCCGGTATCCGTTCACTCACCTCAGCCGTCTTCCTGTCAACCTCTATCGCAAGGTGTCTCGCAAACGCCCTTAAAACCCCGGACGTCCTAGGATCACGGCATGTACGACACGTCGGGTCTGATCCAAGGATCGCCTGGTCTAGGAAAGGCCATTCGAGGAAGACTGCTCCAAACGGCCGCTCGGACAATCGTTTCTGCACTTTCTCAAGAAGGGATATCAACCATATCCTCGGAGTGAAGGGGACCTCGTAACTGCTGACCCGAACCTTCTCGTCGTGGGCGGGACATGTCCGGCACGAAAACCAGGGTGGCTCGTAGTCGGTATCCTCGTGCCATTCTGCACGCGTGTCCCCTGTCATTGGATCATAAACTTCGTAGGGAAGACCTGGCAAGCCGGGAATCCAAGTGAAATCCGTCGCGAGAGCCGCAGTCTCCGTCTGACATTGCAGGACGTAGCGTATGAGGGTTTGATACGCTGTAGCCGAGATCTCGATTTCTCCTTGCTCCTGTTGCAACTCCAGGTCTTTTATCGCGAGTCGTAAAGACGCACTGGCCGCGAAACGCGCTTCTTCCTCCATCTCGTTACGTACTGCGTATGCGTAGACGCGCAACGGACAAGTCGCAGCGAACTCGCGCAGCCGCGGCGCCAGCAGCTTCGTCGGGCCAGCCATGTCGTACTTGACTGCGGCAGAGAGAGCCGCCGTAGCTTGGTCCAAGTCGTCCGTCTTCGGTGTTTCGTAGGGATAGCATAAGCGGAGGAGCAGCCCGAAGCCTGCTGCCGTCTCAGTGACCTCGATCACGGGGCGCCCGTGTTTGGTTTCCTGAACGCAATCCACCGCGGAGGGCGCGGCGCGCAGGAGAGTTGATGATGCAACTTGTTGTCCTCCTGGCTGAGGGAGGGTAAACATCGTATCGAACAGGGGCGAAGCTTCGGATAGGATGCACTTGTGAACATGGAAATCAACATGGTCACTGGTGCGGAAGATAATGTCGGCGCTTTGCTTGTTGAACGGGTAGTCCGCATCCACGATGAAGGTCATTATGTATGGAAGACCAAGCTTCGTGACGATATTGGCGCAGGAGTCGAAGGTGAGTCTCATGGAATTAGGGGCTGTCTCAGGTGAAGACCACGTGGCGAAATATCTGCGCTGAGCCAAATTGATCCAGTTTGCGGCTTTACAATCGTCTTGCATCGCGCGTCATTGCGCCGGAACTACAGCTACAGAGTCGACGTCAATGCTGTAGAGCCTTGACATTCTGTAGAGCCTTGCCGTTACTCCTCGGGTCGTACTGATGACTGACGGAGTCAAGCTAACTTCACGACAACGATCTATGGCGTTCAGGCGTTCACGCTTTTGGCAACTGCCCAACTCGACCGACTGTCGATTCCATAGGGATGCGTAGTCGTGAATGAGTATCTTGAATACAAAGCTGGCTGATCGTAATCATGTATGCGCCTTAGCTGAGCCATCAATCGGATCCCAAATGCCGCTGTGTACTCATTGCTCATGTCCTAGCGTCATTGCGGCATATTTTGCCACGCAAAGACAGCTCTTGGGCGCGCCATATAATGGTGAACACGATTGAGCAACTGCTCTTCTTCCTCGTCTTCGCAACAAGCGCATGACTGCTGCTTTTCCGCCTCCGAGTTCTCTCTTGCTTCGTTTCCACAGCTGCCCTGCCGCTCATCATATCACGGATGCTGGCTGACAGCATATCGTCCAACCAACGTCCGCTCCCGATCTTCCGCCGAGCACGAGGATGCTGGCCATCTCCGGCTGGCGCACGGCTTTGTTGCTTGAGGAACACAACTCACCGCGATACGAACCTTTTTTCCGGGCGTACTCGACGCGCAAGCCTGATGTCCGTGTGTGCCGGCAGCATTTATCCTGTTGAAATTACAGAAGGACATGCATGCCTCGACAATCAAGCGGCGGTCACGACCCGATGATGCCTGTACGGCGTACGATATCAAGGATTACCTATCCGGATTCACTCACGCATTCATTCGCACGAGTCTCCACCTCATGTGATGCATATGCAGTCCGGAATCCCGGTGATCAATTGCCACGTAGAGATGGGACTGGATTGCCGGACCGCACCAGGAGGATCGAGATATGCTTTCTTTCGCCGGCATCAACGCTCATCAGAGTCTGCAGGTGGGCTCTGGAGCGGCTTTCACATACAATCACCCGGAGTATCGGACGGAATATACAGGGTATCCACATTGTGGTCGAGGTGGGAGTATATGTACCCATTCAGCTACATGATTTACCCACGCCCGGCTGGGTCGTGCGGGCGACAATGATTGCTTGTCATGATCAGGAGCCGCCGATGAGCTTCTCGCTATTACGCGCCTTATGTTTCATTCAGCGCTGACTTTAACGGAGGCAAACGGGGGCTTGGCATTCGTTCAAGTTCATTCAAGGTCGATTGATTCCGATGCGACTGTCAATCTGTAGATGGAAGGGAGCACAAGGATGGCATGATGCGCACATCTCCATATCGGACCGTCCATCTGCGCGTGGTCCTTAACCGATGTGAGTCGTTGATGATGTCCTCTCATCTCGCAAACAAAAGATGTTCGTTCATTAATCGCTCCTACGACTTGGTGGTGGTATTTTTAGACATGCACGAGACAAAGCAGGAACATGTGTCGGTACGATGCGAACTTATCGGGAGTAATTGAAGGGATCTTCTCCACAAATGTTGATTGGAACATCACTGCGGGAGGATGAGAATTGAAGACCGGCCCTGTAAACCAGGTTATCAGGCAAGAAGCAACGTTATTCAGGCACGTAAGGTCTTTCTCAGTGGATGCGGCCAGTTCGAGGTTGATGAGAGCTATTCATCGTTACCAGATGACCCTATGGTTGTGAAATCGGCATACAATGCCATCACGGATTGGCAATCATACCGGCAGGATGCCGGCGAATATTCCCCGAGGAAGCTCGGGAGTTACCAGCTTCTTGCCGAGTTTGTGCATCAGGGTGAGCGCCGCGAGGCGCCGCATTCAGGTGCTTCGTGGCGTGCCTGAAGGCATTCTTAGACGAAGTTGAGCATCACTTGATTGGGAGTGGACTGTATTCTCTGCAGTCCATTGTCGCACCGTCTGTCAACGCGCGAAGTTCAGCGTGTAAGGGATCAAGAGCCACTCCACTGCTATCAGCAAGGTCGATCACAACTCCGAGTGGTCGGCGATACGGCTGAGTTGAACTGACTGTACGTGCATATCGAGAAGTGGGCAGCATTGGTTAATGGAAACAGGCAGACCAAAGCTGTTGGAAGAGCCATTGCGAGACATACCACGTCTGCGAATGACCACAAACAAAAGAAACGCATACCTTTGGAGGCGGATAGGGCGCGATTGGGTCCGTGACGAGCGTGGTACAAGGTGCAGTGTGGTCTGACGATCACCGTTCCTCTCCCCGTGTCATTCGGGCCGCCTTGTGAGTTCTGCAAAATTCTATCTATGGAGACCATGTCAGTCTGCTGACACAAGCATCGGCGGATATCTCATAGACAAGGATGGCCTCGAGACAGTACCTTAGGGATACAGGCACTCCTCCGTCGGCAAAGTGGGGCTTTGGCAGGCGAGATGAGACGGCGAGGACCGCAACAAGCCACTGAATCACCGTGAGGCGCCGTTTCGACAACAGTTCGCCGCCCACGGGAAGATTGAACATCGTTCCTCGGCCGAACAAAGAATGCCCAGAATGACAATTAAATTCTGGGACGACCGGTACGTATCAATTGATACCGTTCATGGTTCGGGATCTGGGCCTGTGGTGCTCACCTCCTGTCAGAACACCGCTTCCTCGTATCATACCGGTCGGCTTCGTTGCCTGAAGCACGTTGAACAGGGCGCGTACCGACTAATGCGCTGCATCGCAGCCGGCCATGTGGTCTCCAGCTCGACAACACCACCATCCGGGCGGCAGGTACGATCAAGCGACCGTCGGGGTATCCTGGGTGACCGTGGAGTATAAAAGCTGGCAAGTCGTCAGCCATACATCCAGCAAGCTCACTTCAGCATTCGCAACAACCACCTCCAGCCCACCTCATCGAACAACATGCAGTTTTTCACTTGCACCGCTGTCATCTTCGCCGCCTTGGGTCTGGTTGCTGCCACCCCCTCCCCGGTCACCCTTGAGCCGACCCATATCGTCGCCAGCATCGGCCCTGACCAGACGTGCGGCTGCAGCTGCGGCACCACTCCGCCCAAGGCCATCCTCATCATTCCCGGGGAGGCTGCCCAAGCCAGCTGCTCTGCCAGCTGCTCTTGCTAAACGGAGGTAAGATCGTGTCCCCCATTACGGTTGCGATCGTGGAAGCTCATCAATCTGCGACAGGTCAGGATGCCTTCAGAAGGTGCACTCCTACAAAAAAGATCCCGGAAGGCGGTCACTGACCATCCCTTTACTCACAGATCATGACGTGATTCTGAAGCCGTATAGACTGCTATGATGGAGTTTCAAGGGTGCTATTGCGATGTATATGAGAGCGAAAATCTTTATTTTGAAAGTTGTGAATCTTTTATACACTCACTGAGTGATGCATGATACAAAACAGCTGGAACTGCTTAACCTACTTTACTCTCCGTGATAGCTGGATCCACGGAGAGATGGACATTCAGTTCCCATATCGAGTCCAAAGACGTTTGAATTTACTTACCTTTTTCGCATCCATGGCCGTCAATCAGCTATACTTACGTGCATCCACAACGTATCTTGACGCACACCTGTATTGTATCGTGCATTGTGATGCATATGCAGGAGATGCACTGGATGGGTCATCAAGGGTGCAGAAGAGATCACCGGAATGCAATCGAGCATTGTCCCACGCTGTTTTAGGCGCTCACGGTGTTTGCCCTCAATCGGCGTCTATGTCATATATCTAGAGACCGGATACATACAGCGCGCGAATGATGTGTGAGGTTAAGGTCCGTTCAAGCCATCAAGCCAAATGCAGAATAAGCAGCGTGAAGGAGTGCTCCCTGAACGTCCACTTGCCCTCCCACTTCGCCTTTCGCGTTTTCACACTGACCTCCTCCTCCTTGCCCCACCCATTCCTGGCCTGCACATTCTCGTGCCACAATTCGTGCACCTCTACGTCCGTGACGGTCTCAAATGCGATCCTGAGCGGGACATCGTAGCTCTTAGACTCGCTGCGGTTGACCACTGCTACGCTCAGCGTCTTCTTGCCATCGGTCGAGGAGAGAACGGCAGATACGTCGAGATCCTTGGGTTGTCCTTTGATAGGGGAAATCCATTGCGGGAGGGTCTCTCCCGCGAAGGCTGGTGAATCGACTTGGACTTTGACAGCGACGCCATCGCGCATGTACTTGGAGAAAAGGTGGAGAGGGTGATATATAGTCTGCTTGAAGTAGCCAGTAGCGCTGAAAGGACGTCAATCAGAATGGGTCAAGTAACTATGATGCTCACCTGGTGATCAATGGTGAGATGACGTTAACGCTCTGGGCAATGCAAGCGATATCGACAACGTCGGACTGCCGAACGAAAACGTTGAGCCACGATGCCATGGCAAGTGCATCGGCAAAGTTATAGTATTGCTCCAGTCCATTTTCGGGTGTGCCTATCGAAGGGTCTAGGAGGTGGAACCTTTTCGGGAGGAGGCGAGACTGACCAACAGTTTCATCCCAAACGCCGTATTCATCGAAGGCAATCTTGATAGGTTTGCTAACGTTCTTAGCTACCCTCTGCAGGGGGGACGTAAGTCAGTCATAGCCAAGTTACCCGCGCGATAGTCGAAACTGACCGCCTTGTTGATCAGACCCCGACAAATTTCAATAGAATATTCCGCAGCATCTGGACCGTAGACGCCACGTCCGTACTCCTTCTCTTTCTGAGTGCGGTCGCGGGGGCCGAAGCCGGTGTAGAGGTGCAAGCTGTCCATCAACGAAACCTTCGTCAGCCAGTCCGTCAACTATATAGACTCGTATACGCACCTAGTCAAGTCGATCTTATCTGCCAAAACGTCTAGGACAACCGAGTCCCACTGATCTAGCCCGGTTTGTCCGCATACGACGAGCTTGATGGTGGGATCAATGAGGCGGATGGCGTGTGCCCACTGCCGGGCTTTCTCCGCGTACGCTTCCGCGGTCTGCTGGCCCACCTGCCATTCACCCCAGACTTCGTTGCCAAGACCCCAGTATTTCACCTGAGAAGTCGTCAAAAAAATTGAAATGCATTGTGGAGGATGTCTTACATTGTGCGGCTCATCGCGTCCGGTGTTCCTCCGACGGAGATTGGCATGGTATCTAGTAGAAGGCGAGTCAACGGTAATCTCAGCAAACAACGAAACGCGCTCACGTGTCACCGGTACCGTTGCAATATTCGATCCATCGCAAGGCCTCCTCGAGCGTACCCGTACCCATGTTCAGGATGATGTAAGGCTCGATCTTCGTTTCTCGACACCACGCAATGAATCTGAAGAGAGCTTAGATCATGCAAGCAAAGCAGAGTGTGTCGCTCACTCGTCTGTCCCGAACTGATTGCTCTCCTCTCCTCCCCAAGCAAGCTCCGGCCGCCTCTTCCTCTGATCCTTCGGCCCAACACCATCCTCCCAGTGATACGAGCTAACGTAATTGCCTCCGGGCCAACGCACCAACGGAACTCGCAGTTCATCGCGTAGCAGCTCAATAACGTCCTTGCGGAAACCGTCTTTTGTCAGCAGCTCCTTCGGTGTTTCCGTGAACTGGTCCTTCGGGCACGGGTTGCGTGGCGTGTGGGGGAAGTTCGTAGGTCCCGCAGGGAGAATGCCACCGTAGATGCAGCGACCGAGGTGCTCCAAGAAGCCAGAGAAGAGGTACGGCGAAACCGGCGAGATCGTCGCGGATGGAAACACGTCTATAGCTGGTTGTACAGTCTGGCTCATCGTGGTCTAGTGCGAGCTCTACGGTCGAAGGAGATATGTGAAGCTCGATATGTCGGAGCCCGTGTAATGAATGGTTTTGTCCATGCTGAAAAATACCGACATCGATAGATGCGCGACGCGGTGGTCAAGTGGTAAGGCCAAGGATACTCGGTCCGCACAGACCGGCGCGCCGTCGTGACGACGTCGGTCCGACCCGGACCGTCAGCAGCTGGACTGAAACCGGTGTTTGATGGGGGCCAACAAAAAGCACGGGTAGTGGACAATGATGCAATGTCATAAAGATACAAGTGTCTATCATATACAGTGACTGACATTTTGCGTACGGGATTCGTGGTGGTCGTAATGAGATCTTGTATGTACCGTTCAGACCGACCTTCATACATACTCGGCCTGCTGTGTCTGTCCTTTCTCCGGCGACGCGCCGCGTTCGAGGTCCTCCTTGCCGTGCACAAACACCCTCCCCTGCGCCAGCTCCCTCTCGCGCGTCGACGCGTCGTACCCAGTCGCGCCAACGGATCCCGGCACAAGGAGCGGCACGGTCTCGAAATACGCGTCGAGCTCCTCGAGCGGGATGCCACGAGTCTCGGGTAGGAGAGCCCAGAAGAAGAGGGCGTTGCTGAAGCCGCAGATTGCGAAAACGAGGTAGAACTTCCAGCCGACGTTGTTGAATGCAACGGGCGTAACTTGGGCGATCATGACTGGCATGGCACGAGGGTCTCAGCTTAGTGGTGTCCAGCAGCGCGAATCGTGAGGTACATACAGTTTGAGATCCATGCGGCGGACGAGGTTATAGCAGTTGCTTTGGCACGCGTCGCGCTATTGAACATCTCGACGGGGACAGCCCATGACAGCGGTCCAATGCACGCCGAGAACACAAGGTTGAACTGGGGAGATTTTGATCAAGCGAACTACATCTCAGAAGCATCGGGAACACTCACAAGCCACGTCATAGAGACGAAAGCACGGGACGCATTGGGGTTGTTGCTGCCCGCGGGGAACAGAGCAATGATGATGGTACCGATGACGAAGGTGAAGCCAGAGAGGGCGTTCCCAGCGACATACACCGGGCGGCGACCAAACTTATCGATGTACATCACGCAGAGCGCCTCCCCGATGAGAGCAATGACCGAATTCCCGGACTGCAAGCCAAGAGTCGTTGAGGTGTCGATCTACGGATAGCGTCGCACGTTAGTATATCATGTCTTCAAAAACGAATACCAGACGTACGCCGATGCTAGCGAAGATCGTTGGCGAGTAATACTGGATGACGGAAACGCCGGTCATCTGAACACTGAATTGTATCGCGACACCGAGGAACAGTCGCCTGAAGTTGGAAGGGATGAAGAACAGCTGATGCCATGCGTTCCGGGTCTCCAGTTTTTCGAGAGCGATCTGATCAAGGATTTCGCGATGTTCGGCAACGACGAAGGGATCGGACGTGTCTCCGTGAGCATGAAGACGAGCGAGGACTGGGGGCACTTTCATGAGAGCGTTCAGCAATGACAACAGTTGAGAGTACTTACTCTGAAGAGCGTCGTCATCACGGCCTTTCATCGCGAGATACCGAGGAGACTCGGGAAGGAGACTGTGTCATGTTTATGCGTTAGCTTGAGAAATAGCCCAAAGAAGGAAATGTGAACATACAGGATGAAGATGGCCAGCGGGATCGCGGGTACAAGCTGAATGCCAAGGGGAATGCGCCACTGGGCCTGACCAGAGATGCCGTGGTAGCATCCGTACCCAATGAAGCTTGCAACGAAAGAGCCAATCTGAACAATTGAACATTAGATCCTGCGGGTGGTCAAGTGAATGAGTCAGGAACGTACTCCGAGCATGAACTGCTGCAGCGTCGTCAATCTTCCTCGGATCGAAGGGTGGGCAATCTCGGCTTGGTATAGCGGCGCGAGCATGGCAAGCATGCCGATGCCCATTCCGGCGAGGAACCTTCCTCCGTACATGTAGTGGATGTTCTGAGCGCTCACTTGGATCGCACCGCCGAGAAGGAAGACAATGCATCCAGCGAGAATGGACAGACGTCGACCGACCAGATCGGCAAGACTACCGATGTAGATATTCCTGGTGGACCGAAGTCAGATAGGTGCGCCCGGGATAATTCGGTGATAAGGCTCACGAAGCAAAAGCACCGAGGAGGAGACAGCTGGTTATGAAACCGAGCTGGGTGTCGTTAGGATGGCCCACAGTGTCAAGGAAGTTCGGTGACGGCTGACAGCCAGGATAATCAGCGTCGACGGCCAGGCACAAGAGAAGAAAAACGCACCAGGACCGAAGCTATTATACCCAAGTCGTATCCGAAGGTCACCGAGCCCAATGCAGCAAAGAGGCCGCATAACCAGGTGTATACCTGGGAGCGTGGGCATCAGTATCGTGTTGAACATACAACAAGTTGATAGCGCACCTTGGGGGAGAGAACCATCTTGATCACCTGTGCAAGCCGCGACTCGTTAAAGTTGCGTCTTCAACAGAGCTCCGATGTCCGACTAGAAGAAGGTGGAAGGCGCTGCAAAGAACACCAAGACGAAGATCGCACTGAACAGAGTTGCTTAACCACCCCGTGGGGTATATTTTATCACTCGCGGGGATTTATACTCGTCTGCATCCGTACGTTTTCTGAGGTCACGCAGGAAGCATAGGCGGGACCTTCTGTCCCGCCCCCGGCCCGGGCCCCCATGTTGATCCCGTTGAGTTTCGCGATAACGGCACTGCCACAAATGTCCAGAGGCGCATCTCGAGAGGTTCGAGGGGCGATTTCAGGGCCAAGGAAAGACAAAGGCGGCGGGCACTATGTAGGTCGCTCAGGTTTCGTTCAATATGAGCGCCGGTGTGTGTATGGGTAGAGGCAGGACGAATGTCCGTCATGCTCGGCCGGTCAAGTGAGCAACGACTTCCAACACGGCCCTGACGTGATGTTCGGGGCTTTTTCTGAAACGAGTTCGCGTCTACCACGCGCAAGTGAGTACGGGCGCCCCGTGGTGCGAGGTAGATACAAGAGACCGCACTAAATCAAGGGAGGTAGCCAGCTTGCGCAGATGAACTTGCAGTTGGCATGCTGCAGGCACACTTGGCGGCGTCATGTGCCCGCCGGGGCAAGACCGGAAGACAGGCAACGGAGCCGACGTTGGTATTCTGATAAATTTTTATGCTGCCTGAGCATTGAGCGATACTGTGCAGGTATTATACATATGCTGCTGAAGATGCCTTGAACGATATTGGAAGAAGCTGAAAGTTTCCAAAGCGCGCCTGTTGTGTGGTTCGAATTCCGGGAATTCCCGCGGCCCGTATCTCATGCTGCCTCCACCTCCATCATATGCGCATTCTTTTCTGCCCGCAAAGTCGGGAACGAGAACGAGATTATAGCTCGCGGCAGGCTTGACGTACTTGGCGATGTGAATCCTTGATCGGCAACTGGCTATGCCCTTGGCTTGCGCCATAACATTGCAAGTACTGTATAGCTCTTCGACAGCTTCGAACTCTCCAGGCGCATGCATATAACATGCGATTTGGGATTGGGGTGCGTCAATCCATCATGGCCATCTTGTACTCCGAATCCTCCAGCTTAACGATCTCGTCCTCTTGTCACGCACAGTCGAAAACCCCAACAGCAATGCGTCGACCGATGACGAGCTCGACAAGTTCGGATATATCGTCGACTGGGCGACGGCGGACGTGATCCTGCAGTCCTCCGATGGCGTGCAGTTTCCGATGTCGCGCCACGCGCTCTCCGCCGCCTCGCTCTTCTTCCTCCCGCAATCGCCCGACACGCACACCCACCGCGGCGAGTTCATCTACCACGACCTGCCCGCCGTGCCCATGTCCGAGCGCGCGGACGTGTTCGGCCCGGTGCTCCGGTGCTGCCACGCCCGCGTCCTCGCGGGCATCTCGAGCACGGGCCTGCTCGCGTCCATGCTCGAGGTCGCGGACAAGTACGACATGCTCGGCGCGGTCCTCGGCGCGATCGAGCGCAGCGCGCAGGGCGGTAGCGTCCTCCGCCTCGTCGAGCGCGATCCGGCGACGATCTACGCGTTGGCGTACCACCACCACCTGCCGGACCTCGCGCGGGCCTCGGTGCGCAGCCTGCTCCGCCTGGACGTCGACACCATCGACGCGAGCAAGGACGAGCCGCTGGTGCAGGGATACCTGACCCCGCACGCGCGGAAATGCCTGAAGGAGTACCACTGGGCGTGCTCGCGGGCGGTGCGAAACGTGCTGCGGTACCCGGTGTGGGCACCCTGCGAGCGGGAAACGCGGCTCTGGTTGGACGATCCCGATCGTTACGTCTGGTGGACGTGTGCGAGCTGCCCGGCGACGGAGGACCCATCCTGGAGACCACGCAGTACCTCGCGGATATATGTCAGTCGCGCTCGAGGAAAGGCCGCTGGATATCGGCGACAACGCGGCGTTTCGGAGCGCGGTGCGGGCAGCGAGCAAGTGCGGGACGTGCGCGGAGCATGCGCACGCGCATTTGATTGAGTTCTCTGCTCTGCTGCAGGAGCGAGTGGACTCGGCGATATCGAGCTACGGAGTGAGCCCCTTACGGACGATACATCGATCCCGTTTTCTTTGCTCAGAACGCGTCTTCTAAGTCCAGCTCGGGTTATTTCAACTCACTGCCCAGAACCCGATTGTGGGGGCGTTCATATATATATTCGGCCTCCCGGGTCTTGGGACAGTCAAGCATAGTGAATGTATTTGTAGGTAGCAGGATCCCCCACTCGACATCAAATTGGTACAACTCCGCATATACCATTACCTCGTAGCATCGCAGGTATGACTGTACTATGCCTAGTTATGTATCATCGTTCAGACGTACGATCAATCCAGTAATTTTTCTAAGTCTGCCAGATCCCGTTCGCTGAACGCCAGACGAGACACGCACTCTAGGCACTTGGCCGGACTGGATTAAGCTGTGCGTCACCATGAAATCCCACACACACCAATGACCAACCGCATTGATCTCATGCTCTCTTATCCGGACAACGGAACCTGCGGGACAGGGATCATAAGTATAATACACGGCGACACAAATGCCGCATAACGCAGCGCACCTCGTCAATTCGTCGATGTATCTCTGTTCCGAAGTCATTGCAAAACACTTGCATCTTATCCAAATCTGAAGAGCATCTCCGACACAGTCCATCTGTTTGGGATGCCGCGTGACGCAAGAACTGCTCGAAACTTGTAATGGCAGGATCGCCGGGTCGATCTCGTAGCATCATCCGTCTGTCCGACATGTACGCCGCAGGATATACGCAGCAGCCCAACCAGCGTTCTGATCCTAAGGAGTACCAGCTGGGCACACCCTGGACCATCGCAACGTACTGACCTGCCACGCCGCATGCGAAGTGATAACGCCGCAGTCGCCGATATTCTGCTGCGAGAACGTATCGCCAGTAAGGAGAACCCTCCACTTCCTCGATAATCAATCGCAGAGATAGCTTCGCAGCTTCCTCTGAAAGGTCCTGGATACCAAGCGATCTCCCGACGGCATACACCCCGCCAGGATCAATTTGTGCATGACGGGAGAGATGATCCTGCAAGATCGAAATGATGGTCTGCATGTCGAATTTCTGGGCCACGGATAACACATCACGCAATCTCCCTATATCTTCTGTAAAAGCGAGCTTCGTAGTGTGCGGAGGATAACACAACGAAAGAAGGTCATGGAGGACTGTGCTGTGTTCTGCCATGCAGACCACCGGCGTCTCCTTGTTCACGTCCTCAGATTGCGGTAATGTGAACATGTCACGGAAGAAGGGTGAGGTTAAAGATAAGATGGCCTTGTAGACGTAGAACCGAATCGAATCGCAGGACTGTAGGATGGCGTCGCCACCTGATTCCTCATCGAATGGAGGGGATGCCGTGCGGGGTTGGATGTCGACTGGCGATTCGGTGCATGAATCCTCGAGAGGCAGGGAAGGCAATTCATCAAACACTGCATCCTTGATGCTGACGTATTTGATCAGCCGTATGTAGTCAACTGCTGGGATGTCGTCAACCACATCGGTGTCGATGACCTCGATAGTTTTAGATTTCAGCAGCGTTGCTGCTATACGTTCTTCAGGAGCTAGGGAAAGACGGCATGCGCATGCATATACTTGGAGAGGATCCCACGGAAATGGGTTCAATCGGAGGCTCTCAACGAGCACATCGATAGCTGCGTGTACATCGTAGGTGATCGCGGCCTTCAGCACGGGCTCGATCTGCTGGACACTGGAGAAGCGTGGGGACAGGACTGGATAGCAGAGCCTCAAAAGCTGATCTAGGGTCGTGCTACACAACCGGATTTCTAGGGTTTGGATCCCTTCCGCAACGGGCGGAAGGATCTCGATGCGAGACTTGAGAGGCGTGGATGCGATAGACAAGATGTTCTTGAAGACGTAGAATTCGATGCCATCGGAGGAGCGAAGGACCAGATCGGCATTCGGATCGTTGAACGGCCATGAAACCTTCACCCGTCGGGCGGCTTTAGCATGCGGCCGTGTCATCGACTTCGCCATGAGACAGGTCGTTGCTCAGTCCTGTTATGATGGAACTTGTACAGCAGCACCGATGTCGCCAGAAACGGGCTGAGGCTGGGCGCAAACGGCAGTGGGTGAACAGGTTACAGGCCCTTACGTGCCACCCCCAGGCACGTGGTGGATCCCGCGCTGAACGCGACGCGTTTTCAGGGGTTACACCTTCGCGCCTGGAGGACGTTCAGAAATATCGACGCAACGTCTTCTCTGAACACAACAAGGATTGATATGAAGTGAGTAAACATATCTGATACCTATCACGCACCGGTATTGACCTTTACCAGTTTGCGCCGAAGTAAACGCCGAAGGGCGTGCGCTGGCAGAACCGAAGATGACGACGATGCTGAACCAGAAAAACCGCAGAAGAAGATGAAGCGAATGAAGGTCAAAGGCCGGCTTGCAGGACTTGTGATGCTTCCGATTGACGTTATGGCGGAGGTGCGAGCGTTCGAACACCGCTCAAGGCCCTCCTCATGTGGCGTCGTGCTTACCAGCTCCGTGTAGATTTTTTCGCATTTGGAGCCGTTGGACATTCTGTACCTCTCTTGGACATCCAAAGACTTCAACTCGCTACTCATGAGTCGCTCCTCCGTGTTCATATGGAAGTCCGCCTTCGCCAACGTCCCGGACATGCCTGGTCTACCTCCGGATATGAATGAGGCTCAATATGCTCGTCTTGCCTTCGCGCCACTATGCTCGGTGAGATGGCGTATAGTTTCTGCAATTTTCAGCTGCTGACGGAGTCCTAGTTCTGCAACCGTCCCAATATACGCAAGATTGATTGGCGATTGCGATGCCGTACATGCGCCTCTTGTAATGACGAGTACGTTAAGACGAGCTCGTCAGCATACTTTGCTCATGTCAGAATAGAATACGCATTATCCCGACCAAGAATGCAATACCAGTACCTCGTCGCACAACGGGTAAGAAATTGTGGTAACAATCCGTTCGATGCTTACCAATGTAACGCCGACAGTCGTGCATTGTGCGGGTCATTCGTACTATCAATGCCTCAAATCCGATCACGACGATTTTCAGAAGGAGCGCACGAAACGCCTCCCAGACATGGTGGGGCTCGTCAGATGGGAGCGGGAACAAAAGGAACGGCTGCAGCGTATCGAGGAGGTATATCGTGACCGCTCCTCATCGGGACTTCTCACCTATGACGCGTACAGCATGCCGTTATCTGCGAGAAATGGTCGGACCTTCGGGCGACTGTTCGTGCGACAGAACTTGCTGCGATCCGTCAGCAGAGGTATACAGAGTGGGTCCGGGATATCGTCATTGGTGCCAAGACGCTTACCGTGCACCGTAGAATTATGGAAAGATTGACGAAGATGGGTTGGGGAGAAGAAATCGCGGATCCTGAAACAGTCTACCTCCTGCGCGAAGAGACGTTGGTGAAGCAAAGGAAAGCACTGACGGAGAGAGGTAGGCTCGTCCAGACACTCAGAAACAAACAGAAACGAAGGGTATTTCATCCATAGAATGGGCCAAAATCTCCGACCTCCTGATCAAGCGGATGGAACAGTTAAGGGAAATTCGCCTGAATCGAGAGCAAAGACGCAAAAGCTATTCGAGCCTTTGTTACAACGCGGGAGCCATTTGATCGGACAATTCTGGATGGCAGCCCCGACCTAAACGACACGTAGTCCCTAAGACGAGAAAGCGCGATCTACAGCATTCTCGTCCATCAACTGCACCTCGCCATTGCATATTATACCTCAAGATACCAATATACACGGTCGCTATAAGGCAGCCCTGCGAGGCCTGCAGCGCGCATACGGCATCTTTAGTGATTCTTTCGTAACAGATGCCAAGTTAGTAACGGTAGTATCGGCGCGGCTCTCGTGCCATCTGCGTGCTTGATGTATCGGGAGGAAAAGGAATCTACACCATGAAGACGAGTGAGCTAATGCACGAATCAATATATAATCGGCGTATACGTACTCGGTCCAGTCTGCGCTGTATCTCAGCTGTCATCTCTGTGCAGAATGTCTGCATCTCCGCAAGACACGTTGGCAGGCTGCTTCGACAAGCAACGCAATTGAACGACTCTGTGTCAATCACGCTATTCCATAGGCTCGCGAGTGTTGTGACGGAGGCAGGTGAAGCGGGGCGGATCCGCAGTTGGTCCGCAGTTTTCGACATGCAGTCTTCCCAACCAGAAGCTGTTGACAAGAGCTTCTTTCTATGTTTCTTGGTGAACCCGCAGATACAATCGTGGTACATCCACCGCTGTGTGCTCTGTGAAGACCAGCTAGGTGCCTGTCCAATGGAACACGCAGTGACATCTGCAGCTGACGCGCCGCACGCAGCGTGATAATGCTGAAGCCGACGGAATTCTCCCGCGAAGACATGTCGCCATTGTGGAGAGACCTCCAGCTCGGGAAGACTCTTTTCAAGAGCCAGTTTCGCGGCTGCGAGAGCGAGATCATCGAGAGCCAAGGATCTTGCGATCGCGTAAACGCCTCCGGGATTTGCCTTTGCACAACCGCGGAGCAGGGGGCGCAACAACTCGACCACTGGCAGCATGTCATACTTCATCCCCGCACTCAAGGCGCTATACACCCGATCAAAATTCTTAATAGAGGTCAGAGAGGTAAGGGGATAGCAGAGCCGAAGAATGTCGTCCAACGTGACATGATCTTCCATCATATGCACCACCGGCCGATCCGTTGGATCATCCTTCGCATCCGCCAGTGGTGCTTGCGGTAGAGTGAACATATCACGGAAGAACGGAGAACTGAGCGACAGAATCAACTTATGGACGCGGAAATCGACGTTATCCGAGGACCGCAGGATGACATCTGCGTTGACATCGTCGAAGGGGTGGTGCGCTGGCCGAATTGCCGGAACGCTGACGGCGCCCTCCTGAACTGCATTATCGGCGTCAAAGGAGTCGCACCATGGATTGCGATTGTATCTGAGGAGGTTTATATAGTCCGTTGCAGGGATATCATCGAACATGGCGTTGTCTAGATCTTCCGGGGATCTGCCGCGTAGCAGATGCATGGCCAGACGTTTCTCTTCGGTAAGGGAGAGTCTGCATGCACATGCGTAGACTGCAAGCGCATCCCACGTCAAGCCGTTGAGATTCGTGCGCAGGCGTTCCGTGAGTATGATGATGGCGAGCTTGAGCTCGTAGGCTAGCGCAAGCTTTAGGACAGGCTCGAACTCCTCGATGCTAGAGTAAGCGGGGGGTTCTACGGGATAGCAGAATCGCAGAACGTGATCCAGCGTCGCGCTTGGCGTCGGGATCTCCAGGATCGGGGTTCCATCCAAGATAGATGGGAGTGCCTGTATGCGAGATTTGAAATTGGGGGATGCGATCGACATGATCTTCCGAAGGACGTGGAACTGAACTCCATCGGAGGAGCGTATAATCAGATCTGCGTCGCTATCGTCGAAAGGCCAGGCAGCCGTTGTAGGGTTATCGGCAGACTGGCTGTCCGTGAGTACTGTCGCGTCAAGTTCGTCGGCTACCATTGTGAAGAGACACCGGTACGCTCTTGGTAGTTTTGTGGTCTAGAGACGATGGTGCGAGGGCTGGCCAGCATCGGGCATGCAACGATGCGAGGCAAGCTTAAGTACACAAATCGAGACGTGCACATCGCGCTGGCTTCTTCTTCTTCAACAGCACTCGATAGCTCAGGCATGGCAGCAGTTCCTTCTCCCGCAGCGCGCGAGAGGGTACTCATCGTTTCGACTTCCAATGGCTGTGTGAAGCTGCCAACCCTGGGATGAGGATAGAGAAGGATATGCCGCTGAATGGGAAGCACCAAGTCCACAAACTGCATGCCAGGCGATATGATATTTTTCGATCCTTCCTCTGCGGGAGCATGCTTCGAATCCTCCAGGAAGAATGGTCAATGCAATGCGTACGATTGTCACCCGATCTAAACAAGCTCCTAGTCAATGCATACCGTCAGCCCTGCGGAGTACGATGGACGTGTGAACATACGCGCCGCATCGTCCGAGCGGGCAGCTCTCGAGCCACAAAGAATATGCAACAAAATGAGCATCAAAGAGCAGTTGGCAAGCAAACATCGCCTATGAAGATTCTGACATTTAGTGCAAAGGTAAGGTCGGCAGCTGCAGCAGGAATCGTCCACGCGGAAAAAGTACGAGGAATGTCGATGAGCAAATGAATAGGTCGCCTGCGAAACAGATGGCTGCATTGGGGTCACGGGTAAGCGCAACCTCCAAGAGGGATTCAATAGATAGCCTGAGGATGGGACGATCAGCTGGTTGAGCGCAGTCGTGTGAGCTTGGATCTCCGGAATCGCGGTCCATCCCACTGGGATAGGGATATTGTATACAGTTTATATTTTTGCGTATACGATGCGTATCATGCGTATGATATCTTTCGGAGAAAGCAAGGATGGCAGCTTAGGCGGAAGAAAAGGTAATCGGCAGCTCAGTCAGATCGGTCCAGTCGTCTGTCCTTGGATGAGTGGCATGGTGAAGGAGGTCTGGATGAAGTTCCATACCAATCCAAAATGCTGCCTAGCGTAGAGGAAATATGGTGCATACCAGCCGAGATCCTCGACGGTGGAGATGGAGGTTCCGGTTGAAGTCGGCGTTCGCTCCGTCGCACGACGCGAAATGCTCCACGGACCACCATGTGCCATTCCCTTGTCTCCTGCCTCAAACATCTGTTTGTGTACCGGCACCGTTCGTCCTTCATCGGCGTATTTCACCGAAAATACGGACAAGCTAACGATCTAGGCCGTTTGATACTCAAGGTTAAGTCAGGTTAGACGCTGCTTTCCGCAGCGCGCAGCCTGGACAGGACGACTGGAGCCAAGTATCCGACCAATCCACATGATCGTAACCTGCATCGTCGTTCATCATGGACCAAGAACACGCTATCTCGCATGAGCTTCCGAATACACAGGGTATCGAAGATACACTGGACGAGCTGAAGATATCATCCCCGAAGAACGCGTCAGATACAATCGGTACACCGGAGCCCAACCCATGGCAAACCACCCCAAATCCGGACATCCAGACCGATACAACGCCGCATGCACAACCCATAGTCGCATACGACGTTTCAACGCCCTCCGGCTTCGCTACACCCGTTCGACCTGACGAAGATTCTCCCCAACACCACAAAGCCGCGGATGAGGTATTGCAGGAGTTCGATCCTCTCGCAAACCAAGAGGAAAGGGACGCCCGGGATGCTTGGACACATTCAGAAGGCCATCCACCTCCCCCACCACCGAAGAATCCGCCAGCCGCATTGGATCTCCCCACGCTCGACGAAATACCCTCAACTTCACCTTCGTCCTCCATCCTGCCGAGCTCCCCATTCCCTTCTCTCACCGCCCTAGCACGCACCTTCGCTCTCCCCCTTACCCGCGGCGGTCAGCGTGAACGACCGCGCTCGATGGACACCGCCACCTCCGTACCTTCTCCCTCGACAATATCCTCTTTCGCCGCCCGACAGAGACGGAATCCCTCCCTGCCCGGTTCTCCGCGAATTTCTGCCTCCAATAGTACCGATGGCTCGCCGGATCCATCACGAGACGGGTCTCCTCTACCAGGTGGTGCCCGAATACGGAGGGAAAAAGACAAGGACAAGGATAAAGAGAAGGAGTTCGACTTCCAGAAGTTCCTCGATCAAATGAAGATGAAAGGTGCAGAACCGGTTGCGAAGTACTTACGGTCGTATGTCATCTCTGCTTCTCGCGGACAATGTGGCGTTCTCACCGGGTTATTATCTACCAGATTCTTGAGCAACTTTGCGAAACGGACGTTCACCGTGAACGATCAGGTCAAGTTGATCCACGACTTCCTTAACGTGAGCATTTACCCGACGTAACCTCGCAATATGTTGGAGCTTATGTACTGCCTTTTCACTTTGATAGTTCATCGCTGGGAAAATGCGCGAAACCGATGTATGGCGAAACGCGTCCGATGCGGATTTCGATAACGCTCTCGAAGGGATGGAGAAACTCGTCATGAACAGACTCTATGACTAGTGAGCGAACTGATACATTGAGCGTTTCTCGACTCACAAGGTTTGTAGTACCTTTACTCCGCATATAGCTGCCTCGGTGCCTCCTCGGCCAGTCACATCCGATGATTTGGAACGCGACCGCATACTATCACAGCGAATTGCGTTATTTGGCTGGATCGAACCAAAACACTTGGATGTACCCGAAGGCGAAGGCACTGGAGGCTTCATGATGTTCGCTGAGCAAGGTGAACATACTTTGCATCCGCGTAGTGTGTGGGCTGACCTAGATACAATAATGTCAACAGAACTGCTCAAGATCAACCATTATAAAGCTCCTCGTGACAAGCTCATTTGTATCCTGAACTGTTGCAAGGTCATATTCGGTTCGCCGTATTCCACGCGCCCGTTCTACTGTACTCATCCTCATTGCCGTGTTTCTTCCCCTGCATGTTTGCTATTATGTTGTGCATGGCGTATCAATAGGTCTGATAAGGCATATGAAACGTGAAGAAGGCGCCGACTCGTTCCTTCCAATATTGATCTTCGTGGTCCTCAAGGCTAATCCGGAGCATCTGCTATCAAACGTCGAGTGCGTTCACTTTCGTATCAAGTTTCGAGATGTATAACGTCGCTAAAGAAATGCATAGGTTTATCAACCGTTTCCGGAACCCGTCGAAGCTCCAGAGCGAAGCGGGATACTACTTATCCAGCTTGGTTAGTGTCAGTCAATCCACCATCGACTGCGAATTTATGTGATGCATTGCAGATGGGCGCCGTGTCATTCATCGAGACCATGGACCACACATCGTTGTCGAACATCACACAGGAAGAGTTCGAACGGTAATGCTCGTCCTCTTCTGGTCACGTCCGAGTTGGTTCTCATTTATACTCAGCAACGTCGAAGCCGCGATCTCGGCATTACCAAGCACGCCCGAGCTCAAGACTTCAGTCGGCTCTCAATCCGGATCCACAAGCTCGTCCGGACGCTCCACGCCGTCTCGCACCCCGAGCACAATACCCGCGCCCCTCCCACTTCCGAATACCCCTTCGGCCCACCCGTCCTCGCCTCACCTAGGAGAAGAAGCCGCCACACCCCTCGCATTGCCCAGTCCAGGCATAGCCCTCGCCGAAGACGCGCGCAAGCTACTTCGCGAAGCGGGCGGGACCATCTCCAAGCCGCTCAGCGCGATCGGACGGATCTTCAACGAGGTCGTCGACGGCGTCACCGCCCCCGTCGGCCAGTCATCAGGCCAGGGGCAACAAGAAGGGCGAAGCAAGCTGGGAAGCTACCTCCCTGGCCCGTTCGCGCCGTGGGAGATCGGGCGGGAGAGCCGCGCGGCGGAGGGCAGCGCGCCGCAGACACCGGCTGGGGCGGGCCCGGACGTTCAGTACCAGACGCCGTACAAGCCGCGGGTGAGACGCATCCCGTCGTCTGCTTCTGGAACCGCGTCCCCCGGCGGCGGCTTCTACGACGAGACGCCGACGCGGCCCGGTCCAGCGGGGCCGTACACTCACCAGCCGCTGGCCCTCGGCCCTTCGCAAGCTTACCATTCTCAACCCCAGCCGACGTTCCAGCAGCAGCAGCCGCTCCCGGCGCGCGTACAGTCCCTCGCGCAGTCGGAGCTACTCGCTGTCGAGGGCCAAGGGACGGATGTGTCGCGCACGCCGACGCCCAACCTCGACTTTGCGGGCATGCAAGCCGAGATCGACAGGGCACATGAGCATGCAACTATCGCGGCGAAGGAGACGCTCGTGCAGATGTTCCCGGGCACCGATAACGAGGTGATCGAGTGGGTGTTAGAGGCGAATCAAGGCGATCTCGGGAAAAGCATCGAAGCCTTGCTAGAGATGAGCTGAGAGTCAAGGAGCCCACCTGTATAATGCAGTTCACATCCTCATTGTCATGTTCCCCAACGTCCTCGAAGCACTGATGACGATTGAATGTAAAGTAGTATCTATGAACGGGTCGTGGGATCATCAGCGCGTTAAGGTATTTCTATGAGTACATTCTAATGCCGTGTAAATAAAGATCAATCATCCCCAAAGCGAATCCATGCAGTATCGTGATTGAATTAAGTGAAAGTGCAGGGAAATGGGAAAAGAACATTGGCAGTGCGGATGCGGAATGCCAGACGGTTATGCGGTGGCGGATGGTGCGCGGCCGTACTTCCTGCGGTACTTGTCGTCGATCTCCTCGAGATAGAACGCGCCGGGCCAGACGTTGTCGATGGACCCGCTCGGGATGTAGGAGCCGGCGTTATGGTTCTTCTCACGGAGCTGGAAAAGCAACCAAGCATTGAGTATCACGGGGAAGACGGCCGCAAACGAAAGGCTGAGCACTCACCGCAAGAGCGTCGACGTACTCCTGGCAGGGCACGACCTTCATCGCGTCGAGCCTCTTGAACAGATCAAGCTTCTCCCGGATCTCGGTCGTGTCGCCCTTAACCTTGATGACGAAGAAGCTGCTCGCACAGCCCGAGCCGAACGCGTACATGCTGAACCGCTTGCCCTTGAGCTCCGCGGGCTCGACGGCTGAAACCAAGCTAGATAGACCGCCGTAGAGCGACGCGGTGTACATGTTCCCGCAACGCTTCGCGCAGTGCATCGAAGGCTCGACGAGCGCGGCGTAGTCCGCCTTGGCGACGGCCATGAACGCCTTCTCGAGCGTCTTGTCGGTGAGCGACTTGGCGCGAGGAACGGACGCGAACGCCTCGGCGTTGGGCACGCCCGCAAAGCGGGGCGAGGACGGGTCCTGGAGGAAATCGTTGTAGTACATCCGCGCGTGGCCCTTCTGCACCATCTTGCCGTAGGGCGAGTGGAAGACGGAGTAGTCGACGTCGGTGATGCTGAACGCGGGTTTGGGCGCGGGAGGCTTGACGCCGTCGGCGAAGCCGTTCGCGTCGCCGTTGGCGTGACCGTTGGACCCGTTGGAGTGCCCGTTGGTGTAGCCGTTCGAGGTGCCGTGCAGCTTCGCAAACTTGGCGACCTTCGCGCGGTAGGTGCTGTATGCGTGGTCCAGCGCGTCGACGTAAGTGACCGTGGAGGCCGGGCCATCGACCTCGGGGTACTCCGAGTCGAGCTTCGGCTTGTAGAAGTCGTAGGTGTTGGACATGAAAGTCCCGTGGACGGCTGTTAATAGATCCCGGTCAAACCTTAATCACGGGTGCATCATAATGGAGCGAGCGGGTCAACACTGACGTTCGAGGACCAGGGGGGCATTAGGTCCGATGAGCATGGCACAGGCGCCGGCACCACCGACCGGGCGGGCGCCGCCCTCCGCGTAGATAGCAATATCACCGCCGAACACGATGGCGTTACGGCCGTCCCAGGAGCTGGACTCGATCCAGTTCACGGCGTTGAAGAGCGCGGCGGTAGAGCCGTAGCACGCGTTCTTCGAGTCGATGCCTTCGATGTCGTGGTTGCCCGAGGCGGCGAAGAGGTCCATGAGCACAGTCTTGACCGACTTGGACTTGTCGATGATGGTCTCGGTGCCGACCTCGAGGCGGCCGATGGACTTGGGGTCGATGTTGTACTTGTCGAGGAGGGAGGAGACGGCAGAGAGCGCGAAGGAGTTTATGTCCTCGCGGTCGTCGCAGAACGCCATGTTCTTCTGGCCGAGGCCGATGGTGTACTTGCCCTTGGAGACGCCGTCGAAGACCTCGAGGTCCTCTTCAGAGATGCACTGTTTACCTAGAGTTCAAAATGGATACCACGGAACGAACAGACGACGCGACGCACCCTGCGGGGGAAGTACATCTCAATGGCGAGGATACCAACATCCTGCGGACGCGGCAGGGCGTCGATGTCGGTGTTGTACGAGGTAGAGGCCATCTCAATCAACGGGCAGAAAACAATAACAGAGGGGGTGTGAGGAGGACGAGATGACGGTCGGGAGTAAATAACGGGCTGGCGGGGCTGGGGTATTTAGATGGAACCATTTGGTGGTACGATGGGTGCAGGCCATGGCAAGACGTCCTATTTTCGGCGGCTTCTGATTGGCCGCCGCTTCTCATCTCGTACACCCGCGATTCCTTCCCACAATTTCTTACGGCCGTCCACTCAACACTCCCTATCCGCTGTGGGTGCGGCTTGCAAGGCTTGCGGATCCCGATGACTACCGGACTCTGCTATAGGAATTGATAGGGATTATCTGCAATCTTTATTGTGTTTCAGTTATGCTTTCGGTCTGCAGCCCGGCGCCGACCACGCGACTCATTCCATGCCTGAAACGGAGGAGGCTGCATCGGGATTACATACTCTCGCAACGAGACTGTTCCAGCCTCACCAAGGGACACAGGTTCGTTTATGTAGGATGATCCGAACATAACGCTGGATGCATAGCAATATACATACGCAATGAATCATTTTACTTAATACAATCGGAGACAATCACAGCGCGTTCATACATGGGTACACATTAAAGAAGTACACACGATTATAGATAGTGGAGCGTATCGATATAACACAAGTCGATAGAAGAACAACAGCAAAGAGCAGAGCGTCGAGTGCAAAGAGGTCACGGCCGCAACTGAATGACATGGGGTTTTCACAGCACTTGACGCACAGGGGCTATGAACACTTCCGACTGAGTTGCAGAAGCCCGCAGGGAGTAGGTTTGAAAAGGCAAATCACGCGCCACCGATCCCTAATCGCAAGTATGTCGGGAAACGCCATCGAGTTACGTACGGCGGCAGGGGCAAGAGCAAGCTGGCGGCTGACAGATGTTGCGAACGCCCGCCCGTTCGAAGGCGAAGGCGCAGTCGATGCAGTGCGGATAGGTCGCCGGTGTCGAACGAACAGCCAAGAGCACCCCAATTCCGTCGGAGACGCACAGAACGGGCAACCTGGAACATGAAGATATCGGAGCTTCAGAAGTCGATGGTGAGGACGACCTGGCGTTTCACGAACGGCAGTCAGCAAAAATGGCACTGGAACGACCAATCGCAAAGCACAAGCACAACGCACCTTCTGTATCCTCCTCGCGATCTCTGCTTGAAACTCGCCCAAGAATGTCTGAAACTCCGCCACCGCCCTCGGCCTGCAACTCGCGCATTCCATCGCCCGCGCGAGCGCCTGCCACACCATCTTCGGCTCCGCCACGTCCGCCAACGGCGTCTCCCTCAGCCTATCGCCCGCGCGGTCCATATACTCCTTCCACCACCGCGCCACGCGCGCGTTCTGCCGGTTAGGCACGCCGAAGAACGAGTGCGAGGTGTCGCTCGAGTCCGAGTGGCACGTCGGGCAATTGAGGTAGATCCGGTCGTTGTGATACACGGAGATCCAGTCGCCCCAGTGCGCTGGGTAAGCAGCTGCGGTCCCGCACGCTTTGTGGTACAGCAACAGCCGGACGTAGCTCCCCGCGCTGATGTGTTCCAGCTCTTGGCTGTGGATAATGAGTTCCGGTAGCGGTACGCGCAGGGCAGCCCGCGCCGCGCGCTCGGCCTCGTCTTTCCATCGGTACCTGCACGCCACTGCGAACGCGCGCACGGGTGCCTTCTCCGCCCACTCCTTCAGCTTCCCTCTGAGCATGTCCCGCGCCTCGTCCATTTCATACTTCATCGCTCCCTCAAGCGCGGCCGTAACCTGGTCGAAAAGGCTGAACTGCGGGTCCTTGAGAGGATAGCATAGCCTCAGGAGAGCGTCGAGGACACTAGCGGGTTCCGTGAGCGCAACGACGGGCAACCCGTCCTTCCAATCCTGTCCCTCGTTAGCGGCCGTGGGCGGGACCTGCGGCGACGCGAACATGTTGCGGAAGACCGGCGAGGCGAGCGACAACACGAGCTTGTGCGCGCGGAACTCGACGTGGTCGGGCGTGCGCAGGATAACGTCGGCGTCGGGAAAGTTGAAGGCGGGCGAAGTCGCCTGGTAGGTGAACGCCCATTCCTTGCGATTCGGGGCCGTAGCGCTTGACAGCGACATAGACCTGGATGCCATTGCGAGCGCCGCCACGTAGGAGGCCGTCGTCGGGTCCAAGTCGAGGGACTGCAGGACGTGCTGGAGGTGGACGTGGAAGATGTTATCCGGGTGGCTGTGTCGACGCGGGGTAGACGTCTCGAACTCGGAGTCGGTGCTCAGCGGCGCGGTCTCATGACCTGGCGCCTGCATCAGGACTGGTACTTCTGCTGTTCCGAGGGTCGTTTTTATTCTCATGACTGAGATGGGTTGCCGAAGAGTTGGCCGCCTTGCGTAGGTGAGTAGCGAATATGGCGTTCGGCGGGCGTTTACCATCTCTATTAGGTAGGCCGCAGCCCGCAGATGCCTGGACGATAAGCAAAGAACGTGTTTGCGCACCACAACAGCTCACAATGTTATCTGATTTCGGTGGAGATGCCTCTTACATGCACAGGCAAGATTACGTCTTTTTGCGAGCCTTCAACACCGACTCCAGCCTTTTCAAGCCAACTTCCAAAACGTCGCGTCGTACACAGAACGTAAACCTGAAATGACCTGGTAGAGTACTCGTGTAAGCGTAACCTGGCGCTCACATCAGCCATTGAGCGTCATTCCACACGTTGTTGATAATCTCACCAGCTGCAACGAATATTCCTGCTTCAAGGAACGCGAGCCAAAGGTCCTTGTCTCGCTCTCGATCTGTCGCAAACTCGTTACCATCGTTGTCTCTGTCGCGAAGATAGTTCCTGAGGTCCACTGGTGGTGATCATCTGTTAGCCCATGATGGTTGGCAGGCGGAATTGAGAGCTCACGCCAGATGAAATGAGATGTCGTAGGTTGATTGCAAGGCACACCGCGAGCTTCGAACCAGTCGAGACAGTATTTTATTGTTGCCCTCAATCGAGCCTGGTTGGTCTTGACAAAGTTGTCTAATAGGGTGTCGTCAAGCAACAGACGTGACCAAAGCGCGTCCTTACCAAAGCCGCATATTAGCATACGATGCGATTTTCACCCAGGCACGACTCACCGCAGCAGAGCTGACTTTCATGAATAACGCGGTACCTACAAACGCGTTCCTGAAGTCCGGATTGTGCTGAGTGACCAAGCAACCTGACACCGCGAGTCAATTCTGGCTCTTTTGCGATCGGGAGGGGTAGCTCCATACCGACGCGCAGTCCGTTGGCGCAAAAATCCTTGCTCATCCCATATAGCACATGCACCCGTGCGGGATTGCAGCCCGCCTCCCGCTTCACATCCACGGACAGGATCGACGTGAACGGCACCTTATCCGCCACCTTCTCATTCTCGAACTGGCTCAGCGCGTATATCTCGTCGCACACCAGGTGCAAATCGTGCTTCTCCGCGAACCTGCAGTACGCGAGGAGCGTCTCGCGCCGGTAATTGAACCCGAGCGGGTTGTGCGGATTGCAGAGGACGACGGCGCAAGCCGTTTTGCCCTCCGACTCGAGCTGCGACATGGCGGATTCAAAGGCAGCGAGGGTCTGCGGAGAGTCCGGGTTGATAGAACCAGTGTCCACGCCGTGCATCGAACATCGGCTGCGTAGCGAAACGTCATTGTTGAAACCATCTTGAACAAGGGCTCAGAAGGCTGAAATTCGAGGGGTTCGATTTTGCTTACTGTAATAAGGTCTTGCAATCAGCATGAGATCCCCTTCATCGCCTAAAAGGTGCGAGACTTGATCGATTCTGAATGCTCAATATGAGTCGCACAGCGATCTCTTTCGCCGTAAGTTGGCTCACAGAGCCGTTACGCCACATCCGGTGACGATATGCTGAGGCTCGACTGGCGATACAGGTTTGAAGTACCGGTTGAACAGCCGTGCCAGCCCCTTGAAAATCCGTGTCGAGCCACACATATGATCGCCCTATCGTCATAGTTGGATCATGTAAAACGTGATGACTGTGGTTGGCGCGAACATAGGTGAAGTCCAGATCCTGCAACTGCAGGTTCGCATTCAGATCCTATTCAACCCCGAGTTCAGCCAGCCAACTCTGAGATCTGGACTGATCATCGCACGCACGGCTTTCAGTTCATCCTGCATCAACGTCTACGGAAAATATCCCTCATCAAAACCACGCAGTATGCGCCAACAAATCCGGGACTAACGCACGTTCTCCGCGACGCCAAAGTTGACCACGCCATTTGGGTTCTGGTTCGAGTACTAGAGATCGGGATTGCGAGGCTCAACTCACCGCGCACATTACATAGTACATGTGACGTTCACCTGTGTTTCCAGGAAGGACGCGAGGCCCAGGAGGTGGGCCGACTCCTCGAATGCCCGAGCGCCACGTTTGGACAACGTCGGCGATGTGCTAGCTTCTTCGGCCATGACGACAATGAAGTTTGGAGCTTGAAGCTTTAGCTGACAAGTCGGGTCAACCGCACCGTACGCTTTCCCGAATCACCGTTTCCAACCTTCTGAAGCTGACTATATGCGCGTCGGGACTCGGCGGCGTGGCTCGTGCAAGGCCGGTGAAAGTTAATTAGAATCAGATCGTCGACTCAATCACGCCTCAGGGACCGCGCCACTATCGTCCCTATGACGCAGCCCTGCGGCCGATCTCGTCGAAGGTATATACAACCGGCCGGTTTGGGAGAGAGAGCAGCCCACGTCGAAGCCGTCCGATAAGAATCCATGCGCCGAGTGTGCCCGTGAAAGACGGATAGACCACCTTGAATAGCCCGCAGCAGCGTACACATGGCGAGCTTGGGAGTTTGCCGACCAGGACGGGGGAGAGAGAAGGGAACCAAGTTCCTCGCGGTTTGAATCGCGGGCGATAAGTACTGCCACGACCCACCTCGAGGAACGCCGACGCCGAGGACATATCGTCAAGCAGGAACCGTGCGTACATACAGCGATTGTACAAGGTGCGATAGATTACGAACGCAACCAACGAACTTGAACAAGATATCCCGCCCCTGCACCGCAAATCGGGCTTGGAAGTGTGTTTAGCGGACTTGTGAGCGGGTTTTACGATCGGGGTTCAAAAGCTGTGCGGTCGGCCTCTGGCCGTACTTACTACAGTCGGGGACAAGCAAAGTCAACAAATCATGTAGCGGCTCACACGCATTTCCTATCACATTTCGGACTTTGGATTCAGAATCAGCGCACCTGGAAACATCCAAATCTGCACTCTTTTGAATTTTCCCACGAGAAATCGGGAGTGCCAATTTTTGGGCGAGTTTCACCGCTACATGTAGGGTGCTGCGCCCGGATCAGAAGGCCGCAGATGCCCCCAGAGGGAGGACTGGACCCCTTGACCACTAGCTTCAGGCTGCCAAGTCCCGGAACCCACCTGTATTTGGTGTCTAAGCCGGTTCTTGCCAAAATAGGGATATTTTGACTGCCTATTTTGGCGGACAGCCACATTGGTTCTCACGCAGTTCAGTCACATGATTGAAGTTCCTATTTTTTTTGTGGCGTTTCGGCTCGTTAGAATTATCAATCGCCATCAGAATCATACGCAGAATACAAAAAGGAAGCGAATGAGCACTTTTCGGAGATTTTAGGATCATTTTTTGGGGTGTGCCAATTTTTTGGGGTCAATTTTTCTTATTTTGGCTTTTCTGGGCAATCTGCTCGTGCAATCCTTGAACTAATGTGTATAGTATCATGCCTGAAGCAAAAGAAAAGAAAACCGAGCATATTTCGGGTCGTAAAAACTCGGTCATTTTTTTGGTTGACTTTGCTTGTCCCCGACTGTACTACTACGCGGTTTACTGTCTTCCTCTTCGTACAATGCTAGCTCCTTACGGGCGTGCTTAGTCTAGTTTACAGCCGTTTGCACGATGGTTGAAATGCTTACTGATAAATTCCCGCGCGAAGAAGCTCAGGTAACACGCTGAGGTGAATGATCGATTTTAAAGGTGATTTACTAGAGTCTAATCAACGAGTGTGCCATGCACGTCTGCGCCTCTCGGCCCCATACTCAAGCCAAGTACTACGCCCAGTGCGCGCGGCTGTCGGACAATGTCTCAGCCAGTGCTCGCACCCCGGTCACCCATCCGCGCGAGACCTCGACGGGCCCGATAGCCTGCGGGTCAGTGACCGGGTGTTTTCCCCCCTGTCTTAATGGCGCCGCTGCGCTGTCTCAGTCTTCCTGGGCGTATAGAACAGTGGTCGAGCGGGGAACGTTGCCGTTGCCCCTCTCGCCTCGACTGTTGCTCGCCCAGGTAATCTTCTCGTCGTCTTCGTGTGTCCCTGTCGGCCTGACAAGGCTGTTTCTCGAATAGCATACATTTTTTGGCCCCTCTCGCCTCGACTGTTGCTCGCCCAGCATACATTTTAGCTACATCCCGCTCGCGGCGCGAACATCGATCATCCTTGATCTCACCTATGTCATCTGAGCATGAAGGAGAAGGGACAGAAGACACACCACAAGCTGCCAACGCGGCCTCTGTCGACACAGAGCTTACGCAGAGTTGTCTCGAAGTCGTCGATCGGTTTCGAACCGGCGGGAGCACAAAGGCCGATGCTGTCATTCAGATCGGAAACTTGCTCTTCCCAGCCGGCGAAGCCGGGTCTGCTACAGAGGCTCACCGATCCGCCTTTGATGCGTACCTCGAAATGCTTGACCGGGTCAGCATGCAGCGAAAGAGGGCGCAAGATATCGGGCAGCCTGAGGGATCAGTCAGCGGCGAGTCAGTCGACCGAGACCACGAGACAAACTCCGAAGCGGAGACTCGAGACGACGGACCTAGTCGAAAGAAACAGCGCACCGTTGAAGAAGAGGTCGACGAGTTGCTCGCCGGCGTTAAGCTGGACGTGGCAAGTCTACCCTGGGTCCAGAATGACACCTCCATCATGCTCCCAACGACACTGCGACAGACCCAGGAGACCCTCCTCAACTTCGCCAAGGATTATAAACTTGCGAAGCGCCTCCTTGTCAACTCGCCTCGGTGCCCGCAGTTCCCAGATGCCGAGTGGGATAACATCCTCAAAGGCCGTCCCGTTGACTTCGACAGAGTCCTATCCGGAACGTTCTCCATCACCTTCGACGACAAGCAAACCGAGAAGATTGGAGAAATTGAAATCGCCGTCGGAGCTGCCGCCCCGGCAAAGATCGTCAGGACACATGGAGAGTGGACGATTGCTTGGGAACAGTATGTTGCCGCCATCACCTTCGTCTTCCCTTGGCGCACCTCCGAGCTTCATGGCTATGGACAGTCCGTCCTCCGTCTATTCTCCGCAATCATCCCATCTCTCCACAACCGCGTCATTTGCTATGATAAAGCAGTCCGAACCCGTGTCGCGCAACGACGCGACTTGCTACTCACGGATGTCGAGGGATATGCTGACCTCAAGCTTGCATGGCTCAGTGAGCTCGGAGTTGGCCACACTGGGAATAGCTCCCCCCGTCGCACCCTCAACTCTCGTGAAACCAAGCAGCCCGCAAGTAGTCGACGTGGGTGGGAACCATGCATCCGCTGGAACAATGGCAAATGCTCCTCCGATGCGGGAGCATGCCGATACCTCCATATCTGCCGTCGCTGTGGATCTCCAGCCCACACGTCGCACGACTGCTCGGGTACAGCTCGCTCGTGAACGTTTGAGTGACACAGGCCTGTGGGCATGGCAGCCCAAATACAAGAGGGGGTTCGTGTGGGATGACACGGACAATGTGGTAGCTGGTGGTCGGGTTACGTCCGTCGCCGCAACTGAAACGGCACCTCCCCTGTCAGGAGTACCGGAGAATGAGCTCACAAATGAGCGGGCACTAAGAACGATCGCCAGCCATGCATACCTTTTCCGCATTGTAACTCCCGTCAATGTTGACCTGTTTGAAGAACTGCTTGCAACCCATCCGAATCAACCCTTCGTCGAGTCAGTTGTACACGGTTTCCGTAACGGTTTCTGGCCTGCGGCCAACACAAACGACACCTCCCTACCATCAACGTGGGACAATGCACACCGACCACTACGTGATCCCCGACACGTTCAATTCCTAGCTGAATATCGCGACAAGGAAGTGGAGAGTGGACGCTGGTCTATGGCTTTTGGCACCGAGCTGATGGACGGCATGTACAGCATGCCGATTGGGGTCGTCCCGAAGGGTGAGAACTCCTTCCGACTGGTCAACGACGACAGTGCGGGAGAGTTTTCTGTGAACGCGATGATACCAAGGGTTCGCCCCTCGATCCCTATGGATAATGTTATAGACCTGGGTGCAATACTGCGGCATGCCCGGCGCAGTGCAAACCTTCCGCCTGACCGCAAGCTGGTACTATTAAAGTCAGACGTGTCAAGCGCATACCGACAACTCCCTATGCATCCACTTTGGCAAATACGCCAGATCGTTACAATCAATGGCCAGCGACATGTCGACAGGTGCAATCACTTTGGAAACCGGAAGGCTGGTGACTTGTTCATAGCGTTCATGAGCTTAGTGCTGTGGATTGCTATCAACGTGCGCCATATCGACGATCTCCTTGGATACGTTGATGATACCTTCAGCTACGACGAAGCAGATCACCTCGAATTTTATGCTCCCTATCACCGCTTGCTTCCGCGGAAGCAGAAGCTACTCCTGGAACTCTGGGATGACCTCTGCATCCCCCACGAAGATCGCAAGCAGGTTTTTGGCTCCCCGCTCCCTATTATTGGGTTTGAGGTCGACGCCAATCAGATGAGCATTAGCCTCAGTTCCGATAAACGTAACGAGCTCTTAGCCCGCATCCGCGAGTTCGCTACACTCCCGCTTCATAAACGACGCCGATATCCTCTAAAGGAGTACTGGAGACTTGGCGGCTGGATTAACTGGGCTTTGAATGTCTTCCCGCTTCTTCGCCCGGGACTCTCTCTCTTGTATGCAAAAACTAGAGGAAAAACCGAGCCCCACCAACTGGTATCCATGAGCGTGGCTCTTTCGCGAGATCTCCTATGGATTGCAGGTCACATGGAGCACCTAGATGGTGTCTACCTGTTTGAATCTATCGAGTGGTCAGTGAAGGATGCAGATCTGATCCTTTTCTCTGATGCGTCGATGAGTGGAATGGGTTTCTGGTCGCCAAAGTTCCTATCTGGTTATCAGTCCCCACTTCCAGGGCGTGCACCCAACGACGCAATCTTTTACTGGGAGGCCCTCGCTGTCGTCTCAGCATTAGACTGGGCATGCTCAACGCTTCCAATCCCCCGGTGTCTTATAGTTTACTCCGATAACACGAACACCGTCGACATGTTCAACTCGTTGAAGGCCCTACCACAGTATAATGAGCTCTTGAAGACTGCCGTCGACATCCTCTTGCTCCACTCCATCGAAATACGGGTTTTTCACATCCCAGGCAAAGACAATGTCATGGCCGATGCACTGTCTCGGTTCGATAACGACCTCGTATACCAACTGGCTCCCACCGCCTCCATTTCCTTGTTTCAACCCCCTCAGTCTGTCATGAACGCTTAGTAATGACACGCAGAATAGAGTAGAACCTTGTAGAAGGCGCTGGAATGCGCCTGAAGGTTCTAGGACTTGTAGTGACTCAGGTTATGACTCGACTATGACTCATAAGGAACATTGTAGAATAGTATAGAACGTTATGGTAGGTACTGGAAGGTTCTAGTACAGTACTTGTATAGTAGTATATAAGACGCTAGCTGAAGTCGATGGACTTCAGCTCGTCCATCTGTTATACACGCCCTTAGCGCTATAACGATTGACGGTTCGGTTACGGCCTTTTAGACTTAAGAACTAAGACACCGCTACCTACAACAACCCACCACACTCGACCTAGTGCGTCTAGAGTCCGAACTCTCACGCCTAAGTCACACGACACAGCCTAGACTACAACGACAGACTTTACGCCAAGTCTAACAACCACGACGGTTCGGTACCCGCCGAAGGTACCACGATCTAGGGTTCTTACGACTTGGACGAGCTCTTACG